CCGGGCCGCGGGGCGGAGCGGCGGCCCCGAGGCGGAAGGGCCGCGGCTCTTCCCTCCCCTCCCCCTCCGCCGGAGCGATGCGGCCGCCGCGTCCCGGCGAGGCGGTGCGGGAGGCGGTGCGGAGGGACCCGCTGGGCGCCGAGCTGCGCTGCAGTCTGTTCGCCGCCGCGCTGCAGAGCTACAGGCGGGACTCGGCGCTCCGGCCCTTCCCGAGCCGCTACGGTGGCGCCGACGCCGCCTCCAAGGACTTCGAGGCGCTGGTGAGCGGCACGCGGCCACGGCGCCGCAGCCGGCCGGCAGCGGGGACGGGCAGGGCTGAGCCGGGCGGCGGGAGGGCCGTGCGTGGGGCGGGGGTGGCACGGCTCGAGCAGCAGGGGAAACGCCGCGCTGCCCCGGAGCGGGGATGCGGAGCTGTTACATGTGTGCCTTGAGAACGACGCCGGAACGGCCCGCTTCCCCCGGCCCCCAACCCTTCGTGTCTGCCCCGCCGCGGCCCCGCACCCAGACCGCTCCCCTTCCGCCTGCCCCTGAGTGCGCGGCGCTGACGCCACCGATAAACAGAGACTGGTCTCAGATTCCAGCCGGCCGGGCTGAAATACTCGGTTGTTTTCACTAGAGGTCTCTGTTTAATCACGATGAGGAGCTCGGGCTGAGCTCCTGTTGTCAGCTTGCAGATACCGAGGCGCTGCCCAGCCTGAAGGAACTCCTGGGAGCCGTCCCGAACGCAGAGAAAAGGACCTGGGATTTGCTAAGCTGGATTTTGTCATCTAAGACCTTCACGATACAAAGCATTAAGAAGCAGGAGGTAAGGCCTGAACTCAAACAGCCCATCAGAATTTGTCTGCAGGCAACTTTGCTGTTCAACACATTTTTCCTGGAGGTAGAGAGGATTTCTCTTTTTAATAGCTTTGAGAAAAAGCAAGTAGAAGAAATAGTTATTGCTATCGGTAGCTGATGGTTGGCAGTGCTGCAGCTGGGTGCTGCCATTAACAGGATGCGTATGTGCTTGTACCAGACCAGGATAGTCCTGCTCAGGTTTCCCGGGGCTGAGCCTTGCTTCTTACTCAAAGACAAGTTTGTGTCATGCATGCTTGGCCCAAAAACAGAAAGGTTAAGAGCACTTCTGTAACAGGGATCAAAATAGTTGTAGGGATTAGTAGCAAGAAAACAACTTCTCTTTTCACATTTTCCAAGGTCGGGTGATGCGGGGTCATCTTAGCAGCCAGCACAGCTTGGTGGAACGATGATGTTCTAACATCAGTCAAGCAAAACCTATCAAAACTATGACTGTACACACTTGTTCTCCCTGGGAACACTGAATTCTAACCCAGGAGGCACGATCAAAATACATAAAGCAGTCTGAAAGACTAAGGGATGAAAAAGAGGATTTCCAGTGAATGGCCCAACCCCATGAACTGACACTCCTGTTCCTTCCTGTTTTCAAGTATGAGAAGATCCAGGAGCTCACTGGGATGTCTGATGCTGCTGTTCCTGCCCCGGACTTCCTCTTTGAGGTCACATACTGTGATCAAATGAATGCCAAGTTTGCTGAGACTAGGGGTGAGCAGGACCTCATCTATGCCTTCCATGGCAGTCGCCTGGAGAACTTCCATTCCATTCTGCACAATGGCCTGCATTGCCATCTGAACAGGGTGAGGCTCCTGATGCCCCTTATGGGCACCATCTCTTGTTGGTCACCTGCAGCCAGTAACACTTGGACTGGCTGCAGAGTCCTTTAATAAGGAAGGGCACAAAGCATGCTGACGAGTTATTCCTGTTTTCACTTCAGTGTAGGCCTTGGCCTACAGTTGCATTCAGTCTTCTGTTCCAGCCTAAGGGTAAAAACTGGAAGCAGCATGAAATAGTTTCCTCCAGCGTGACAAATTCTGTCTATCCTTTGTAAGGAGGTGTAATGCCTCTGGAAATAGTAGCCTCTCTGGCAGCCTGCAGCTGGAACATGCCTGTGCATAGAACAAAACAGCAACCCAGAGAACACAGGGAATTCTCTCTCCACCTGGCTGCAGGGTCAGGTCAAGTAGCTTCAGATGCCACTTGCAGATCCCTTTCTAAGTGGCCCAGCTAAGGGAAATATCCCACAGGATTTTCAGACCTTCTGCAGAAAGGAAGCTGGGACTCCGCTGTCTGTAAAGCAGTTCTGACAGAACAGCTGCATATCCTACCCATCAACCTGGACCATGTTTTCCCACCTCCCCCCCCCCCGGATGCCCTTTGTGAACAAGGCTCCTCAGCTATGCCGGATCTACTGGCTTAATAACTGCAGTCAGCGTGGCAAATCCTCTGATTCAAAGTTATTGAAACAGTTATTTTTGAAAGGAATTCACAAGTGAAACATGCTCCCCTCTTTTCCTGTGAAGCAGGGATTTAAATGTGAGTTAAAGCCTTGTCCGTACACGAAGGCTGGATTACTTGAATGATGGCAGTCTCAATAAATCAGTGCAATGCCCCTGACAGCAGTGCAGTCATGTTGATATAAAATGCTTACACTGGCGAGCTCAATCCAAATCCGGGAAAGCATGAATCTGTCCTCACCAGGGGCTGTGCCAAACAGCTAATCTGAGGGATGGGAGAGGGCAGGAAGTTGTGCCAGGACAAAAGCAGTGCAGAGGACCAGGCCAAATGTGGGTAGAAAAACCTTTGTTAATTCACCTCAAGAAACAGAGCCACCAGACTGACAGTAAAGAACACTTGCATGCTGTTTATAACTTGCCCTGCAGGACACTAGGATACATTTCTGTCCTGTTTCAGACATCGCTGTTTGGTGAAGGCACCTATCTCACCAGTGACCTCAGCCTGGCTCTGCTCTACAGCCCACACGGCCTCGGGTGGCAGCGAAGCACACTGGGCTCCCTCCTGAGCTGCGTTGCTGTCTGCGAGATCATCGACCACCCCGACGTCAAGTGCCAGGTGAAGAAGAAAGGTGAGCCTGTTGCAGTAATAACTACAAAAGTTCAGCCCTTGTTCAGCACCATTTGTGTTTCAGCTCTGGGCACGTACATTGCCTTAGACAGCGTGGTATATGGGGCTTTCTTTTCTGATTGACCCCTCAACAAGCACATATAAGCCTTGCAATACTATCTTCAGATGCATATTTGAAGGATAGACACTAATTTGGTTGCATCATTTATTCTTATGATAAGTTCACCTTCCCTGATGCCTGTGATGGTGGGACAGGAGCATCAGAGTGTAGCAAAAAGGAACTATCTTAGCTATATAGACTAAGAAGCCTTTGCTCAGGTTGTCCATCTCCTTTTTTGCTTGCAGGACTCAGTCCTTCAGTGTTGTTTTTCTTCCCCTGTTAACATGAGCAGCCCTCCAGCACTGTGTGTGACCCGCCTCCATCTCTCCCTGGTCTGTGCTGGAATACCACCCATACCAGGGATGACTAGGAGTGGTGTAGCCTCAAGCAAACTTTTCGGTCTATTCCTGGATGCTAAAGGATTCTGGGGAATGCTGAGATCTTTGATTATCTCATTCCCACCCCTGTGGGCGTACATGCGTGTGAAGGTTGTTTGTTTGTTTTACAGTCACATGGGAGTTTGGCTGCTCTGTTCCTTGAAGAGCTCTTCTTTCTCCTTCCCATGCAGATTCAGAAGAAATAGACAGAAAAAGAGCAAGAGTGAAGAACAGCGAAGGTGGTGACGTGCCACAGAAATACTTTGTTGTCACAAACAATCAGCTCCTCCGAGTTAAATACTTGCTGGTCTATTCACAGAAACAGCACAGGAGGTAAGAGCTCAGCCACCTAGATTGATGAGCGTGGTGGAACAGATAGATAAACGTACCCTATTTGTGAAAGAGCAACGGGAACAAGCTGCAGAGACCCGCATCTCTCATGAAATCCATGCACTTTTCCCTTTTCAGGCCTTCAGGTCAGTCCTGGTTTTCCACCCACCGTTTTGCCATAGCAATGATGCTGTACCTCTTGCTGCTGATCGTGATTGGGGCCAGCAACTCACCAGCCTTCCTCTACTACTGGCACAGAATGTTTCACTCAGAGGGATGAATTGCCCTCCAAGATAATAAACTGCTATTTTCACTGTGTGCCTTAATAACAAGGAATCCACCAAGCTCTGCATCTGTTCCAGAGCTCTGGAAATAAAAGATGTTTGGCACTTTCCAGTTATTATTTCTGTATTCCTGTGATTCATGAAGACACCCAGTACAGCTGAGAAGGATCTTAATAGTGCAGCTTAGCATGAACTGATTCTTAAGGGTCCATGGAGAAAGTTATTTAAAATTAATGAAAACTAAGTGTGGAAATATTCTGCTGTCATTATTTTCTGTCAGATTGAGTTAGTAATGTTTGCACTAGGTGGAAGGGAGTTTCTCCCTGTATGTCAAAGTCCAAGTTTGTTTTCAGAAACTGTATGTAGAGATGTTTGTTATGTATCAATGCAGGTGGGTTCACATTTAAAACAGACTATGATTTTGACCATTAATTTTTATATTTAAGCAGAATGATTGTAAGAAAGAAAGAAAATGAAATAAAACAGCAACCAAAATGGAAGAAACTAAATGACTTCTACCTAAGTGCCATCCTTCCTCTTCCCCTCCCCTCCCCAGTGGAACACATACAGGATTGCTGCTCTCAGCCATGACCCACCTTGGTTAGCACATAAGATCAGACAGATTTGGGCACTTCAGCATCAATACTGAATGTGCATTTTGCTGTCAGACTGCTTTCCACTTCTGTTTTCCACAGGAGGAAGAGAGAGGGTAAAGGGTTCCATGCACAGCCACCTGGCAGCCTTTATAGGGTTGGAGCTAACCAGAACAAGATCTCATCACATATCCATAGCAAGGGAGTCTATGATTCCTAACCCTACTCATGAAATATTTCAAATCTCTCTCTCTTTCTCTAACATTGTTACCTAATTGCCAGAAATGACAACCTGCCAATCAGGTTTCCTAACTCAGTTCTGAGGACACATACAGCAACCCCTCTCCTTGGTGGATAGAGCTGGAAGCATTTATTCCAGTTAATTTTACTGCCAAGACCAATTTATTTATTCACCATACAGCTTGCAAAACAAGAACATTATAGTCCAATTCCCCATTGCCTTTTACAGTCCATTAATAATGCTCACTGGTACAGCACATTGCATTGCCACAGCCCACAAAACATACGTGCTAATTATAGCTCTGATTTGCAATTAAAATATACATAAACCAACAATTCACAACAGATTCAGCTACAGTAGCTGGATATTTCAATCTAGGAATTTGGGGTTTGAAACATGCATTGTGTTTCTGAGACTTTTTTTGCCTGCTTTTGGTCTATTTCAACAAGTGATCTTTAATGTGCCATGGGTTTAGGGTAGGTAGGATGCCAGGCAGAAATCCTAAAGCTGTTTGGTGCTGTCTGGAGGGTGGTATTGTGTTGGTAAGAGCCTTGGTGTGTGCCTGCAAGTAAAACATCTTTGGGAACAGATGGGATATCCGGGGCCCTTTGAAAAAGAAGGGGCTGAAGCAGCAGTTGTTTGATGGATGGTTGCTTTGCTGCAGGGAAAGGCACAGACCTGGAGCCCAGCAGCCAGGCAGAAGGAACAGATGGGAAGAAACATGGCACGGTTTGAAGGCTCCTTTGCATAGAGAAATTTCCTGAAGGATAAGCAGAACGAATTAATGCATAGTGGCCATTCAGCACTATCTCCCAGTGTCTGTCTGGGCTTTTATTTGGCTTTAAACCAGCGCTGTGTTAAACCAGCAATACCAAAGAGTGGATTTTTCCACTCCCGGGTTTGAGCAGACCCACAGGAGAGAGGGGCTGCAGGGAACCATGGGCTGGTGGTTCTTTGGAGCTCTAGAGCCCCATCTGGGACTGCTGATCTCAAAGGCAATAGGAAAATGAATGCATTCTATCTTAGTGGGCCATCAAAATACTTAATAGCCAACTCTGGTGCTTGTTTTCTGTGCTCCCTGCTGATCATGTGTTTCCCAACGTGGCGAGATGCAGTCAACTGAATTAATGAGAGTGTTGTGTTGAATAACCAACAATATTCTGAATTAACCTGAGGTTCCGTTAAGCTCTTAAGCCACTTGTGTGGCTCTTTGAACACGCACAGCGCTATAAAAACGCTAATGGAAAACAAATCAGAGCTTCTTCCTGAAGAAAGAAACACTGTCTGAAGCAGAGGGTTAGAATCATAGAGTCATTAAGATTGGAAAAGACCTCCAGAGGTCACCAAGTCCAACATCAGCCCATCCCCACCATCCCCACTGGGCCATGTCCCTCAGTGCCACAGCTGAGGCTGTGCAGGCAGGCAACCAGGGCAGAAAGCAGAAGCACGCGGGGCGAGGAGGAGCAGGGTACTGCTTGGCAGCACACTCCCCCAGTGACATTTCCCTTCTATCATGAAAGCTGTCACTTTGGGCATCTTGCCCATGCTCTGAGCTCGCCGAAATGTCAGCCTTTAAGCACCAGAGAAGGGAAGAAAGAAAGCAGTAGGGAGTAATGCACAGCATGCACAAAGCACCCACAAGCATCTTGGGGACCACATCCCAAGGACTGAGGGATGTGTCCTCCCCAGCATCCCAAGGAGAAGAGTTTTCCTATTGTGCCACAGTTCATAGCATGGGTTTGAAATGGAGCTTTAACATCATCTAGTTTAACCTCCCCAGTATGAGCAGGGACGCTTTCTGCTACACCAGGCTGCTCGAAGCCTCATCCAGCCTGGCCTCGAGCACCTCCAGGGATGTGGCTGCCACAGCTTCTCTGGACAACCTCTCCCTGTGCCTCACCACCCTCGTAGGAAAGAATTCCTTAAAAATATCCCAAAGCCAGAACACTTTACGCTCTCCCACTATACCTATAGGCCATAAAGGTAACAAGCCCCTCCCAAAAGGAAACACACTTCTTAAATGCCTACAAGCTCTCTTAACACCATACAAGAGTAGACAAGTGACCTTAAATAAGTCTGGATACAATTTGCTCCCACTCAGCAGAAATTCACTAAAGAATATCTAAGAGATTAAACGCACTTCGCCACTAATTCAAGGCTCAAACAACCAACACATTTTTCCCCCCATAGGGATCTTCAGCCTTACAGCAGGACCAGTAGAACGTAGAATAGCATAAGTTGGAATGGACGTTGAAGCTCATCTAGTTCTAAGCCCCTGCTACAGATAGGGTTGCTAAAGGAGGGTCTGATGAGCAAGTTGCCTTCCCCACCACCCTTGAAGAAACCTTACTGGCACCAGTCAAACCAAGACAGCCTGGCACCATGAGCCCTACTCTGCTGGCATTGCATAATTAACCTCTAGTAGAGCAAGCCCAGAAAAGCCAAAAGGCAATTACATATCTCACTGGAGTTCAGATGCTTTCTGAAGGGCTCAAATTAATCCCAGTTGGCTGACTGGGCTCTTACAGCTCTGATTGATCCCTTTGAGCCGTTGAGACAATGCTTAACATAGTGAAAGGCAAGTACTCAACCTCTGTCCCCAGCCTGCTATCACCCAAAGCACCACAGCTGCCCAGCAAACACCACTTACCACTCCTTTTGTTTAAACCCCACTTGGTTTTTGTGGGCTGGGCACTGGGAGACCAGTCCAGGTCCTTTCTTACCAACAGAGATTCATCACTCCAGGCTTCTCATAAAGTAATTGATTTCCAGGAGGATCTCAGCTTCCCCATACACACATTTACAGCCACAAGTCAAGAGTCTTATTAATAAGTTCATGCTGATAGAACTCAAGTGCTCATTCAAAGCTACAGTAGTCACAAAAATACTCAGAACTGTTTCCTGACAAATCCAGAACCTCATTTGCCCAAGGACTTCACACAACAAAAAACAGCCAACCAGCAGCACTAAAGAACTCCTCTTAGCTCCAACTAAAGCTGCCTTCAGAAACAAAAAAAACCCCAAACATTTAATAACAAGCATCTCACAGAGAAGTAATCAATTACCCCTAACTGCATAGGAGATAACAACACAGCTGAATAAATTCATACCTTCAACATACACCTAAAGACAAAGACCTCCATAAACTTCTGGCACAGCAATGAAAAGACAATAAATAAATAAAAACAAAATAAAAAATAAACCATTTTACTCACCAGAGCTCAGCCAACTCCCTCCTTCCTTCCTTCCTCCACCCTGCCTCTTCTAGCAGCTTCTCTGCTCTGTGCTGTGCATTTAAAGGCCATCAGCACCCAGCTGGCACCCACAGCAGCTGATGAGCCCTCCCCCCACAGGTGTTTCCCATCACAGTCCTCCTTAGGATGCACAGGGTCATCAAGTGCACCTGGCTGCATGCACTCTGATTGGAGTCAGCAGTGAGGTGTGGGTGGTAGGGCAAAGCAGACATGAGTGCATGGTAAAGGAGAAAGCAGGGAGGAGAAAAGGTGGGTTTAGTTCTGTTAGCACGTGCAAGATGGCAGTTGGGAGGGGCTAGGCAGCAGCAGGTCTTGTTCTCACCCTTTGGTTACCCCAAATACTTACTCCTGGTCAATCCTGTGTCCCAGATTGTTGCTACGTAAGGACGTATCCACACCACCCTTGCATGAGGTGAGACACCACTGTGTCCCTTTCAATCCTATCTCAGCCCACTGCAGCTCTTGTCTTTCTTGTCGTTCTTGTCTGTCTCCATCCCCACAGCATCTCCTCCCTCCCTACAGGGGCAGCCTGAGGGGAGATGGGTCAGGCAATGACCCCAAAATTGCTTTTATGGATGCCATAGCAAGGAGAAGACTGGACAAGACCTCAGGCTTGTCGGTCTCTAATAAATGAGGCCCAGCCCCTCTGCTGCATCTTCCTTGTGCTGGGTGAGAGAGTAGCTCCTACCTGAGGATTCACTCTCAGTACAGGCAGGAGAAATGTTCATGGTTTATGGCTATAGACCCACACCCCCCACAGTCAGTCAGTGGACTTGTCTCCAAAATCATCCAGACAAAGCAGCCCCTGATGCTGCTAGTCTCCTTCTGGTACATCTCTTCAGCACACCGTGTTAACGGTTGTCCCATTGGAGCCACCCGATGCCACCTGGCCATTGACAGCCCCATCTTTGGTGGTCTTCTCTGAGACTAAGACGGGTTTGTGTCTCTCATGCCTGGTAATGGCTGCTTCAATTCCCCTGAGACACGACTGCACGTCCTCTCTAAACGAGGGGGTGTACAGCCCATAAATGATGGGGTCGGTGCATGTGTGCAGCAAGCCGAAGAGAAAGAAGCTGTGGTTGATGTATTCAGGCATCCTCTGGATCATGGCTGGCTGGAACCAGTACCACAAGCCCAGGAGGTAGTACGGGGTCCAGCAGATGATGAAGGTGGCAACAATCACAATGGTCATCTTGAGAGTCTTCATGCGTGCCTTGGAGATGTGGTCATTTTGACTTCTTACCAGACCTGTTGGGGAGAATCAAAAGGACAGCAGGAGGTGTGAGAGAACAAGAACGTAACCACCAGTGGGAATCCCAGAATCCTGCTGAGCCCTAAGGACCTGCTTACTTTTGTTGATCTTTAGCTGCTTACTGATCTCCCAAATGATTCGGACGTAGCAAACAATCATGATGCTCAGGGGGGTGATATAGAGGGTGGTGAAGGTGAACATGTTGTAGACAGTTTCTTCCCAGTGTGCTCGGAAGCTGCCGTGAGTAACACACTGTGTGAAGTTCCCTCCTGGGACCGTGTGCAGGTGGAAGAGAAATAGCTGAAATCAAGAACCAAATCACAACTCAGAAAAGCTCTGGGACAGGACACACACTGCATCCAGGCAGTGCTTGGGGCCAATGCATGCAGCTCCGTGCTATTCTCTTGGATCATGTCACTGTCACAAGAGAGAGGAGATCCCTGCCTCTCCATTCCCCTTGGCAGGAAGCTGGAGGATACTATGAGGAGGCTCTTGGCCTCCCCTCAGCCTCCTGGAATGAACAAACCAAGAGACCTCCACCACTCTTCAGTGCACCAAACACAGCAAAGCCAATCCGGCCATGGTGGGATCACAGATTGGGATGAATTTGTTGCTTTAGCCCTTCTCCAACCCAACCAGGTCAGTAACCCCATAAGGAAACCACCCAGGCCTACCTGGGGTGATGCTAGCAGCACACTGCCCAGCCATGCAGCACGCAACAGCAGCCCATTGCGGCGTCGGGCACGAGCAAAGGGCTGGAGGACGGCAGCATGCCGGTCCAGGCTGATGACCACCAGCACCAGGGCAGCCACATACATGGCAAAGAGCTTGAGGAAGTTGAGGAGCTTGCAGGAAAGGTCTCCGCCGTACCACTGCACCGTCACATTCCATGCTGCATCCAAGGGCATCACTGCCACCGTCACCAGCAGGTCGGCCAGCGCCAGGCTGAGAATTAGTGGCCGCACGTGGCACTTCTTCCTCTTCCTCAGCAGGCTGCCCAGCACTGCTGTATTGCTGCATGCTGCCAGCAAGAAGAAGATGGCTGTGACGGCCACGCGCACCTTTGCAGCCTGCGTGAACCGGGGCTCGACCCAGTGCTGCGGGCAGTGAGCGGCCGAGGCGTTGGTGACCCCCTCCGTGGTGGGGTGGTGGGGTGGTTCAGCTTCAATTAAAGCAGCTGGTAATTAGAGAGAAATCATAAAGTTATGAAGGTTGAAAAGACCAATACGATCATCCAGTCCAACCACCAACCCATGCCTGTGAGTGCTCTATACCATATCACTCTGCAACATTTACCCTTAGATCAGGAGAAGGTGGGATGTGCAGTCTGGCAGCAATCAACCCTAGCTCCACACTGCCCATCCATGTGATGCTCATTTGGGCTGCCCAGGTGCCTTCCCCGGCTCTCACTCAGCCCCCTGTAGCTATAGCAATTGCTTGCCCAGATGTATTTTTAGCTTTTTGCAGAGCAGTAGAGGAGCTGGGGAGCGGTGGCTGCAGCCATGGGATGGCACATCCTTCCTTTGCAAATAGATTTCAACCTTTTAAAAAACCCCACAGTGCTTCCCATTAGCAATTTAACACTTAATGGTCTGCCTCCATCCATGGTGCCGGGTCCCCTGTGCCCAGCTGATGAGTGCCTCTAGTTTGATCTAATTGCCCCTTTATTCCCAAGCACAGCCAGCTTGGGGACAGCTTGCATTTCAAGGGCAAATGCTCCAAACTCTCATGCACACAAGCATTAATGCTCCCCACTGCCAGGAGGTCTCTGAGCATCCTGAGAGCCTTCTGGTTGCCAATATCCAATTAACACATTCCCCACCTTAAAACGAGTTGCAGAGACCAACCTGTTCCCCCAGGGAACTTGTCCATCCCACCCAATGTGTCTGTGGGATAGAGACACCAATGCCCTCCTCCAGTCCCTTCGCTGTATCCCTCCCTTTCCTCCCCGAGAAACACCCAGAAAGCAAGCAGAGAAAAGAAACAGCAGTACAAAGTCCCAAGCCATTGCTGTCCATGTGGACTTGTCCCAGCAGATGGGGACATACCTGGCACACACATGCCCTGAAGCGAAGAGAAATGCTGCCCGTCCCCGCAGCAAGTCAGGCAGCTCCAGTGCTGAGCATCCGTGCGTCTGCACAGCCGGCAGCTCGCTGCTATTAGCAGAGATGTATGCAGCCCCTGGCATCTGGAGAAGGCAACGCCGACGCAAACATTCCCTGCAGCAAACCTGGAGGTGGGCACCCCTGCCCTGCTGGCTTAACGAGCGATCCGCTTTTAGTCCTAATGAGCCGGCTGTGGGAGTGGAGCTGATGGATGGCAAGAAGTGGCCAGCGCTCAGGATGTTGTCTGTTGCTGTTGTGACCAAACGTGGCCCCATCAGGGACCAGCGCCAGCATGCACCGCATCGGTTTTCTATAAATACAGGGAAATGAGTTAATTATCACCGGGGTTGGTGATGAGCATCCTGTTGCTCAGACAACCGGGAGCTCGCAGCCTACATGGCCATGTGCGCACCCAGCGATGCTCCGCCACTGGCTGGGTCTGTGTGAGCCCGGAGGTGAGCTCAGGTGTGTGCTGGCCTGGAAATGCCATAAGGAGGGATTAAACCCAGAGGGGAACTTTGGTCGTGTTGCCGCTTTAATAAATAAACTCGTTTATCTGCGCTTTCCCAATTCCCATCTCATTATTTTTTATTTCAGCATTTTAGTGGTAGGCAGACTAGATGATATTAGAGGTCTTTTCCAACCTTAATGATTCTATGATGACTCCATGGTCACACAAAGTCCTAGAGTGGACAAAGAGCTCACGGGGGCTTAAAAACCACAAGGCTGGGGCTCGTTTCCCCTCTCTGTGGTTTCAGTCATGCTGCCTACCATGGCAGCTGGTGGCTCACCCAGGGTTTTGGGCAAAGGCAGCACGTGGCAGAACCCTGAGATCCAGGGCACGCACAGCCTTTATGGGACTACATCCAGCACCCTACACCCATCACTTCTGCACTTCTGCCCCCAAAATGTCAGCTCATGGAAATGGAGGGAGCTTGTCCCCAGAGACCCAAAGCCATGGCAGGCAGAGCGGCAGGGAACAGTCCCCACTGGCTCCTTACCTGGCATGGACATCCGTGAGGAGAGACTGTTCCTGGGGCAGAAAAAAGCACTGAAAGCACACAGGAGCTGGGTGTGAGCCCACTCATGGCAGCAGCCTTCTCTTCTGGACAAAGCGGAGAGGAATGCAGCCCCACATCTTGATTTTTCCTTTCACTTAGCTCTTTGCACCTGCACTAAGGCAATTAAATAGTGGGTCAGGAATGCATTCCCTGTTTGTCCTCCCTCCTGGCCAGCTGCCCCATGTCTGGAAACGTCCTCCCGACCCCAAATGCATGATGCAAGAGAAGGACAGGATTTTTCCTGGGAACCATCCGCCCCGCTCATGCCACAACAAAGGCTTTGGTTCCTGTTCAGAGAGGATTTTTGCAGCATGCCATCACGCAGCCATGTCCTGGGCATGCATTACTAATGAGACATTTTAAGGGTGTGGTCCCTTGTTAAAATGACTATTTTTCCCCATTTTTTAAAAGTTTTTCATAGTAAATCTCCTGTGTTTTCTTTTCGTTGTTGCTGCTGCTCCTCTCCCTAAAGGTCAGCTGCCTGCTGAGTACTGGTTTAACCATCACGTTGTTGGGCAGAAGGATTGGGAAGCAGCACTGCTGGGCTGTTCCCATACAGCCCCCACTGGGCTGGGATGCTGTCCTGGGACCACAAGAAGCATGGGATCACCTGCAGCGGAAGTGCAGCTGGAGCACGTTTTGCATTGCACATCCCATATAAACTGGGGTCTTGCAGACCCTCATTCCCTGCCCTTGTGCAGGTGCTTTTGGCATCCCTGAATCCCTGTTTGCTCAGTGAGCCTCACCCTTCAGACTCTCAAATGCAGACATTTTTCTTCTGGTTCTTCTTTTCCTCCTCCAAGCCCTGAATTGTCTCCGGAGCCGCTCGTCCAAGGAAATTCTTGTCTCATACTGGACTTGAAACAGAAAGTCTAGTCAGAGACATCTGACATGCGGTGTTTTTGTGAGTAAATACCAGTGTCCATGAAGTCATTTCCCGGGGTTAGAGATGAGCTCAGCCCTGGAATGGCTTCTATTCTTCCCCAAAGTCCACAGCAGACAGTGCATGGCTCCCTGCTCTCCTCCTGCTCACTAAAATCTGCACTGGAGCTGTGCATCACACCAGTTTGCTGAAATACTCACCGCAGAAAGCAGCGAGGGGGTCACAGCACACCTGCGAACCCCTCTGCAAGGGGTGGTTCAATATATACATTGGGTGTCACTGTGGCAAAACCATACAGCGAGAAGGCTGTGCCCAGTGGGGTGCACACAGCTGTTCGCAGACATCTTTACAACTTCTTTGGGTGTTTCTTTGTGCAATAATGCTCTGTTTCTGGATTCAGAGGTGCTGCAGCACTCAGACCCTTCTTCAGGTGTGCTGTGCCTCTAAGCATCGAGAAAAACGTTCTCAATGCTCAGTCTCATCAGAGTGGTTGGTTTTTGGTAGCCTGGTGTTGCAGAGCTCAGTGAGCCATGGTCAGTCGTTCCTAGCAATGTCCATAGGGAGCTGGGAAGGATGGCAGGAAGGTGAGCAAGCTGACAAGGAGGATGCTCTCCCCTCACACCTACCCTTTGCCATGCCTAAAGTGGATGAGAGAGGTGAGTTGGTTTCTGTAGAACAAGCCTCAAGGTGTAGTCCATCAGCTCATAGGTTTGGTGACCTGCCCAGTGACCTTGCTGCCTGACCCTGCTATTTTTCTTGAGCTGGAAGTGATGAAATCCAAATGTTTTCATTGTGACTAACCTACGGAAGCGAACAATTTTGCTCTTGGTTTTGGATAGGTTTTAGTGGCTCTCCTCCTCCTCGTCTTCCGTGCCCTCTTTCATCCATCCTATTTTTACTCTCTGCTTCCATCACCTCCTGTCTCTTCCTGCTGGCCGTGTGCATCAAACGCCCTTCTCTCTCTCACGCTCCCCAGGGTGTTTGGACCCAAATCTGATGTTTCTTACAGGAAAAGCTGTATCCACAGGATGGAGCTGAGCCACAGAACTCACCATGGCATCCTCTTTCCCTCCTGGGGAGGACATGGTGCTGCTTTTTTGGGGGTTGCCATTTGCAAATCCATTCCCAGAAGGCACTGTGGGTTATGCAGATGTTGCCAAAGAGCAGCTCTTGGCTTGATGCTCCAGTTCATGAAATCCTGACAGTCCTTTGCCAGCATCAATCAGCTGCCACCCTCCCTGCCTTGACCTGATCTAGAGGGAAAAACGGAGCAAGAAAAATTATGAGTGAAACAAAAGCTACTACCCCATCACCTTCCTCCAGCTCTGAGTGCATCCGAGCCTGAAGCAATTGCATGTAAATAAGAGCAATAAATTATAGATTTCTTCAGGACTAATTAATTGCTCAAGCCAACACAGGGTGATCTTTGTCCACCAAGCAGAAAACCAAACACCTGGAGGGCTGTGGGTTGGAGCTCTGCTACTGCCTTTCCTTTGCATGTTAAATGTCCCCATTCAGAGCGGTCCAATCCAAGTGGTCCCATCACAACCTGCCTGGCACTGACCTCTGTATTGCACCACTCATGCTGCAGGTGTGGGACAGGAAGGTGCTGGGACGTGCAGTACTCAGAGGGCCATGGTTCAGTGGGCATGGTGTGATGGGTCAATGGTTGGACTTGGTTATCTTTTCCAGCCTTAATGACCCTGTGACTCTATGAAACAGTGGCCACATCTTGTGGTGTTGAGATGAGTCATGCTCAGCAATGTGATTATAAAGGGATTTGCTATTGAGACTTTCTGGTGCTCTTGGAGCAACCTCCATCTCACCTCTTTGGAGGTATGATGGGGAAGGACTGAGCCCAGTGATGGCCATGACATCAGGAGAGACATACTAGGGGGACCCTGCTGACCCCAAGACCACTGTGTTGTGCCCACTCTGCAGTGCTTTCTGCTCCTGTTTCCCAGATATGGGTGGATGCTCCATCCCTGGAGACATTCAAGGTCAGGTTGTTCACGGCTCCAAGCAGCCTGATCAAGCTATAGATCTTATTTTGGAAGGGACCTCAAAGACCACCCTGCCACCATCTCTGCCATGGTGGGGGCTGGGTGCCCCCCTCCCCCCCCAGCTCAGGCTGTCCAGGACCCCATCCAACTTGGCCTTGAGCACCTCCAGAGATGGGGCATCCACAATTTCTCTGGGCAGCTGTGCAAAGGCCTCACTGGCCTGTGAATAAAAATTTCTTCCTAACATCTAACCATTTCTTCCTACCATCTAAGCTAAATCTCCCCTCTATTAGTTCATAGCCATTCCCCCTTGTTCTGTCACTTTCAGACCATGTAAAAAGTTTGCCCTCCTCCTTCTTATAAGCTCCTTTCAAGCACTGTAAGGCCACAATGAGGTCTGCCCTCACTGAGCCTTCTCTTTTCCAAGGTAAACAAGACCAGCTCCCAAGCTTTCTTCATTTGAGAGGTGCTTCAGCCCTTTGATCATCTTTGTGGCCCTCCTCTGGAACTGGAGGTGTCCCTATCATTGCAAGAGAAGTTGGGCTGGATGACCTTTAAAGGCCCCTTCCAACACAAACAATTCCATAACTCTATCAATGCTGCAGGTGGAGCCTGCACTCTGGGTTCAGCCCCTAAGTGAATCCTTCCAGGGGGAAACACCAGACTGCTCCTTCTTGCCTAGCCACAGCCCATAAATCCTCATCTGTGTAATAAAAACAAACTCCAGTAGTTCCTTCTTTGGGCTCTTTCCCAAAGCTTTTAGGCAGCTGGAGTTTGCTTTTGTGCTGATGAAGCGGTGGAGGAGGGCTTAAGCGAAACAATATTGTGGCAGCTGAGAGGTTTGCTGGTGGTGGTTCAAACCTCAGCGCTAAGTCCAGGGATCCACAACACCTCCAAAATTTCATCCAGCCCATAAACAGGGACGGTCCAAGTCCTAGGATGTCAAAACAGGATTTAAAAACAACAGCTCCAGCTCTGCATCAGCCACCACTGGAGCACCACTGGGAGCCAAGTGCTTAGCGAAATCCCAGCTCCCAGCTCTGAGAACACACAGCCTTCCCCAAAGCGCTTGGGATGGAACAAAGTCATCAATCAGTTATTTTCACTCCGATCTCTGTAAACAGGAGCAAGTTCAGAGACACAGAGCAGGGGAAAAAAAGCGTCAGCTCCTTCTGGTGTCACGGGCAGAGAGGAGCAGAACGTGGCCCCGCTGGTCCCTCGTGGACTTCACAGGGTGCAAACCCCACTGATCCCCAGTGTGGTGCAGTGATTTTGGTGATGGTCATTGTGTCGGTGGCGTACTGGACAGGAGGGGAAGCACAGACAGCTGGGTGAACATCATGGCCATGTTTTCCCCTCATTTGGGCAAGAGAAGAGCGATGGACATGCCCTGAGAAGGAGTGTGGACAGGGAAGTGGGGTCCCACTGCCTGTATCATGGTCCTTGTGCACTACTGCATCTCAGTGCTGGGGGAAAGCATTCAGCATGGCAGCATTCCCATCAATACACTATTGTTTTCTAATTATGCATCGGTGAGCAAATCGTGGAAAAAAGTCTGTAAGAGCCAGCTGGGCCTCCCAGGGCTCATCGTGGCGTGGGGCGGGAGGGGAACGTGGCCTCTCCAGCCCTTGGCTTTATGCAGGGAAATGCCAGCAATGGATAAGCAGATCAAATAATCATAGAATCGAGGTTGGAAAACACCTCTAAGATCATCCAGTCCAAACACCCACCTACCACCAGTATTATCCACTAAATCACGTTCCTAAGTACCACATCTACACATGTGAGCTGCATCCTTCCCCATCGCTATGGGCAGCATCCTGCCTTCCCCTGAGCATCCCTGGGCTGTGATCAGCCTAACCTCGCACCAAGGCAACTCCTGACCTGGCTGCTCCTTGCTCGCTGGATAAACATTCTACCATTTCTTGGCAAATCCCAGCTTGTTTTCTTCTTTTCCCTCATAAACAGAAACAGGAGTCAGCGCCGGGAACCTCCAATTAATTTTTATGTGACACTGATCAATGTCTTCCTGCACTGCTCCCTCTGGCAGCAGGGCCAGGAGGGATTACTAAGAGGGCAGCCTGTTCTATTCTGTCCTGTCCCTATCCTGAATGCACACTTCATGTTGTGCCATGCTGCAGCAGATATGGCCCCACAGGCATATATGCTTGCACACGGCTCCAAACTTCCTTTTGTGGAGTTCTATGGGGGGGGGGGGAGAATGAGGGGGGAGGTCTCACCAGGAGCTTTGCCAGTTGTCCCCATGGCTCAAGAGTGATGAGGGCACACTGACTTGCAAGGAGGGTCCCAGTGAGGATGGCATCCTGCCTCTGCAGCTATGTGCTGCTCCATGGGATCAGAGAATCAGAGAATATCCCAAGCTGGAAATAATTCACTGGGACCACTGATCCACCTCCTATATCCACGCAGGGCCACCACAAAACCATAGAATCACTAAGGTTGGAATAGACTGCTGAGATGCCCAAGTCCAACATCAGCTCACCTCCCACCATGAACACTGCGTCCCTCAGCATTACATCTCCACAGTTCTGGAACACCCCACCACTCCTTGGGCAGCCTGTGTCAGTGCAGCTCTTTCCAAACCCTACTCCTGAGAGAGGTGTTCCAGAGCTGCCTGAACTCTGGCTCAGGCCTGTGCCCATTGCCCTGGGGAGCATTCCATGCCCACTGCGTGCTGGGGCAGAACCTTCTCCTGAAACACCATGGGATCCAAGCAAGCATCTGGCCACATCCCATGCCCCATATACCCAGAACAGCTATATGTATCCCAAATGTGAGGAACCCTTGGGGCACTGAGGGGCACCACCTCATCCCCAGCCAGCTGGGAACCTCAGAGCATCCTCACTGCAGCACCTGTGGGATATCCCGTACAAACTGCCCCTGCCGTTCAACTGGGAACCGAACCCGGAGCATCTCCCGCAGCACAGCCTGATGGCACTGACAGCTCAGCGTCCCCGACTTGGCCACAACTCCAACCCCAAAGCCCCACTCCCGCAGCCCAGCCCCGTGTTTACCATCACCTCGCCGAGGGATTTATTCCGCCGGCGCTTTCCTCGCCCGCCCGACCCGCTGCAGCCCGTGGCGCGGTGCCATTCCGGAGCCTCACGCCGCGCTATATAAGCGCTCTCCGCGCTCAGGCTGTGGGGACCGTGCGCTTTGCAGGCAGTGCTGAGGCGCGGGGAAAGCACGGCTCCGCAAACCCCTTCGGCTGCTTCCAGCCCGCTCTCCCTGGAACGAGAGGACGGGACATTCCTTCGTTGGAGGTTTTATGGTTTTTGTAGGTAAGAGAAAAAAATAATAATACCAAAGAATCACTCTAAGCTTTTCCTTCCTCTGCAGCACAGGCGTTATATAACTTCGCTGGGTAATTAAGGCAGTGTAATTACAAACGGCTGTGATTGAGGGTGAAGTGGGAATTGTTGCTGCGGTGTGGGAGGCTGCCGGGCTGCTCGGCATCCCCAGCCATCCCGTTGCAACGTCACCAAATGGGTTTTGCACAGGGTCCGGAGGGGAGTTTGGGGATAACAGAGCTCTGTTCCTGCACTTTGTCCTGCAGCACTTTGGGACCGAGCCCCAGAGAGGGGGGACGTGTCCCTGCATCTCTATGAAACCCCGGATGAGTCGCAGCCGGATCCCAAAATAACCTGCAAGTGGGAACGGGGCTTTCCGCCTGCATGCATTTCTCCTGGTTATTGTCTGGCTGTGAGTTCGTGACCCTGCCGTAAGCTCACAAAATCCTGCTCATGTGTTGCTCGTTATTTGTGCTTGACTGGGATTCGCTGAGCTGTAATCAAAGTATTTCCTATTCCCATAGCATCCGTTCTTGGGGAGGTTAGTTAGTTACAAGCAGAGGCAGTTTTGTTGCTTGCAGCCTTGGGTTGGGGTAAACTGAGGCACTGAGCAGCTACAGCAAACATGGAATCACAGAATACCCCAATTATCCCCCAGACTCATTTGTTGTGATGCACAACACAACATGTCCATAACTGCAGCAGGGCGACTGAGCAACAGCTGCTCAAAACCTTGGTACCTCAGTGCTCAAAGCCACAGGGCTACGTGATGGAAAAAAAGGACAATTTCTGGCTGCTTGCTGACAATCACAGCATCACAGTAAGAGCTTGGCTTATGCTTTGCCTGTGAGCCTTCCCAGGAACTCTGAGCCCAGGCTGTGGGCAGAGGGACGGGGGCTGAGGCTCTGCAGAAGCACTTATCCTGAAAAGGGCCCAGTAAGGAGATGTCATTACAAAGCACTCTTCTGCAGAAAAGATTTGAAGCGAGGATGGGATGCCACTGCAAAGAGCAGCAGGATACAGTGCCTCTGCCATGGGGGGGACAAACGGGTAGGAGCTGCCACAGGTGGATAACCTCTGAGAGAGATTTCTGCAATGGGAATGGGGCGACGTTTGGTGAACAACCAGGATGGGAGGTTGGGCACCTGCTGGGAGCAGCATCCCGTAGGTAGGATTTGACACAGCTAGGTTTGTCCCCATAGGTCTGAGGGACGTGGGACGGCTCCAGGTCCTTGAAGAAGCTCCCAGTTACCTCTGGACATGATGCTGGTTACCGCAAGAGGATGGATGCTGCTGCTACTGCTGCTGTTGGGAGCCACAGCCAGTTCAGGTGAAGGTGCAACACTGGTGACCCCAAACACAGTTCTGACGAGGCTTAGTGGGTGTGGTGATGATGGGTTGATGGTTGGACTCGACCTCAGAGATCATTTTCAACCTCGATGATTCTATGAAATCAGCAGACACTGCGAGGGCAGAGTGCCCATCTCCAAGATGAGCAGGACCCAATTTACTTAGATAGGTTTTGTAGAGCAGGGTGCCTGCAGGCTGTTTGGATTTGTTTTGAGGGCATGGAGGAATTTTGCTCTGAAGGGCTCTGGCGACAAGCTTGGGGATAAGCACAGAAAGGTCAGAACTTGATGGGGAGATTCCAGACCCCTGCTCTGCATCAGGCAGGCTCAGCTCCCCGGGTTAACCCAAGCTCATCCCTTCATTGGATTTGTTCCTCCCCCATGCAGGGAGAGGGGGGATGCATCTTATACCTCCAGATATAAAAAGATGTTTTGGTCACAGCTGCTCCAACACAGAGGGCAGCAAGCCCAAAACGCAGCGGGGCCAGGGGAAATCCCAGCAGGAGGGACGTGGAACACAGCCAAACTATGCCTGACCACTCACATCCAATTATATTATTAATAATAATCTATTTTAATCTCTAATTTCTTGAACCCCTAGGTCAAAGGTTTGTTAGACAAGGCCTTGGCAGGATCCAGATAGGACAGAAAACCTTCAGACCGATAGTGATGCTCAGCCTAGAGGGTAAGTTACGTTCTACCCTGATGGCTTCCCCTTACTGGGACATCTTATTCTTTTCAGTCTTCATTTCAAACTGAATCAATTAACTGGAGTAGATGGGACGTTGAGACAGTGGAACAAATAGTGCTGACCCCGCACCCTCCTGTGGGGTTGGAGCTCTGGCTGACACACACCACTGGCTTCAGTCCTGGAAAGCTGAAGGTCAGCTGCGTGACCACAGCTTGTCCTTGGGGCCATGGGGTGAGGATGGTGGTGCTGTGGGTTACACCCAGCAAAACACTGAGGTTTGGGCCACAGTAATTAGAAAATTAGACATCTGCCTTTCACTGCAGTAAGCCCCAACCTCAATATTTACCTCTGGGAGTGGGTCTAGAAGACCTCCATGAGTTGAGCATGCAGGGTCATACCAGACATCCTCTGCCCACAGGTACGAGGAGCAGCCCCCGTCGGTTGGACCCGATCTTCACCAGTGCCAGACGCAGTATGTCCTGCTTCCCTACCTCACTCCCCATGCACCCCTTGGCTTCTCCCTGCCCTCTGCTTTTCCCACAGTCAAGGTGCTGTCTGGAGCCATCGACCTCCCCTCTGCCTTTCTTACCATCACCAGCCCTGCAGATTGAAGCACCTGATAGCTGCTGATAGACAGAGCTGTGAAGGGCTGTAGAGAAACACAACATCAATCTGTTGCAAACTGAACGCTTGCTTGGGGCAAAGATGAACAGCATTTCTGAGTGTGCTCCTAGAAAGAGACTGTGTCTCCAAATGCACCTCCTCTGTGTCACCCCAATTATTAAATAATGTCTATCTATGTACCAATGGGGATGGTGAACTGGAGAAGTTAATGTGCCAACAGATTAAGAATCTAGCCAGCTAAGCCAGGCACTTGCTCCAAACCAGACATTGCACTGTTGCTGTCATTTACGTCATCTGTTCCAAAATCCCCCTACAACACCTGCTTGTGGAAGCCAGGGTTCATTTTCAAAACCTGCTATTCCAACACTCCAGACACAACCTTGCCTGCCTCTTGGCAGACATAACTTGCCCTGGCATACAGTGAGCCTTGTGGAAGGACAGGTGTGGGAGATGGTGTGGTGCACGCACATGTTTCCAAGAGATCTCATTTTTAGAGCATTTAGTCACCAGCACATCTTCGTAAACATTATTAGAACATCGTCATTTAAAAATAAACCCTAACCACAGGCTGGGGTGGATCTCACCCATTCAAACAGCTTAAATTAATTACGTCCAGTAACTTTTAAAGGAATTCCTTGGAACATCCAACCGCACACCAAACTCCCAATAAACCTCTTTGTGTTTGACAAATCAGCAGAGCCTCAGCATCTCAGCCTCCTGTTCTGCACACAGCAAAGCTGGTGCTCCCAACAGGACACAGAGTCTCCTTCTCTGGAGATATTCAAGACCTGCCTGGATGCCTACCTGTGCAACCTGCTGTAGGGAACCTGCTTTGGCAGGGGGGTTGGACTGAATGATCTCTGGAGGTCACTTCCAACCCCTACAATTCTGTGATTCTGTGACACACGCTTCCCCTATAGAGAACATATGTTGAAGTAGGGTTAAAGGCATTCAGCACAGCCCTACCAACAATAGCACCCTTCTTTGTTGCTTTTTTCATTTAACCACATGCAAGCACTGCCACTCAGACAGCACTCAGTTGACAATGTGGGTTTGAGCTCCTCTAAGTCAAAGTTATTTGAGACTAAGCGTGAGCTGCTGCACTCTGCCCCTTAGGCTTACCTTAATCGTCCCAAATTCAGGCAATGATGTTTGAAGCATTGAGGCACCTTCACGTGCTTTGTTTTCCAGCTCCCTCAACATGCTTTTGAGTTTGTGGTGCATAATATCCAAATACAAACTCATGCCCGAGCCACGTAGAAGCTGTATGGAAACTGCTTGCTTTGGGGCAGCCCTGCGTTGAATGTGTGTCTCACTAACACCCCAATGATGTCATTCAAGCTGTTCTGGTGCAAGATCCCAGAAAGTTCTTGTCTCCGTGGTCAAAATGGAGTGAGTGCTCAGGACAGTGTGGCCAAACTGGTGTGCAGAAGCGGACCCGATCCTGCCTGGCGGATCGCCTCTGGGGCGTGCACTGCAATGAAGTCATGGAGGAAGGGCGGCTCTGCATCGGACACGTCTGCTCAGGTGCTCACATAACCTTGGTTACGTTTTTTTACTCCCCTCATAGTCACGTTACCTCAGTTCTCCTCCTTGCCAAAGTTCTGAGAGCTGCCTGCAGCCAGCCCCAGGAAGACGTTACAGCAGCTTGTAATTCATTGTATTACAGTTATACTCCCCTTTTAAACAAATCACTCCAAACAAGTCTGTGTTTTCTCCAGGAAAGTTGTTATAGGGTTTTCTCTGGGTTCTTCTTTTTATTGCTGCAAATAAATAGATTATCACACAGCTGCTGTAGGCAGAGGCTCTGTGATTGTAAAGGGAGTGCCCTTGTAAATGGAAAGAAACAGGGATATGTAAGATTAACTGCTATAGGTAAGAAAACATTACAGAATCACTCTTTGGGAGACTATTTGTTGGATTCATCAGATCATGCTTATTCAACAGTTAGGCTATTAGGACCTAGCCTACGTCCTATGCAAGCCAGGATGCTGCTAAGAGAGGCGGCTTTTAAGACAAACCAATGCCGTGGCATTTGGGCATGGGCTGGCAACAGGAATCTACAAAGCTGAAGGCATTTGGATTTGTGATTTTGCCAGGGTTCAGCTCACATGCAGATTGGGATTCAAGCTTCCCTGAAATTCAGCCCTTTGGGGATGGTAATGAAAAGTTGCTAGCTGTAATTACATCCATGTGGGTGCTTTCTACTAATTACGAGGCTCAGCACTCCATCAGCCCCACGTTTCTAATACGCGGCTGCTGATAATCTCTGGAAATACATTTTGGATACAATCTATTCCTTATGCAGTATCTGCCCTATTGCATCTAAATGGAAAGCAGGCGTGAGGCCATGCTAGGAGCGTGGCAGAACTTCAGGCTGCTTCCTTACCTACCTGCCTTACCCCAGGCTGCAACATCACCTGCCCCATGGGCCGCGTGAACGCCGACTGCGATGCATGCATGTGCGAGGATGTGACCCTGCATGGAAAGGTCTCCTTGGAGGATGGTTCACCTGCAGACAACGCCCGGGTCTACCTGCAAGCCAACAATCTCAAGCTGTTGACGACAGCTGACAATAAGGGCACGTTTAGGATTCCTGGGGTCTGTCCCGATGGCAGCAACACCCTCAAAATAAAGAAAGCCAAATACACGACCGCAGCCATCACTGTACCAGAGACCAACAGGAAGAACCTGGCGCTCCAAGTGCAGCTGAAGAGATCAGGTAGAACTATAGAGACAGGGAAGCCCAGCACCTTTAAGAGCAACTAACAAAAATAAGAGTAATGAGGCTGTCTTTCATCCTCTTGCAGGCAAACCCTATGTTTTCAAGAGCCCTGATGACAAGGCGAGGAGAGTGGGGCAGAGCGTGTCACTCTGCTGCAATGCTGTGGGGACTCCGGCCCCAGATCGCTATCTGTGGTAAGGAACTCCCATTGATCCCATACCACCTGGCAGAAGGGCAGAAAGCTGGAGCTGTGTGCCCAGGGGAGCCTCATGAGGCAGAACAAAGCCAAGGGCAAGGTGTTGCATTGAGTTGCAGCAACAGCTGCTATCAATACAAGCTGGCTATAAAAAGAAGGGGACAGAATTCATCAGGGTCTGACGTGAGAGGACAAGGAGAAATGGTTTCAAACTAAAATGGGAGATTGCACTGGATGTAAGAAAAAAGTTGTCTCCAATAAGGGCTGCGAGGCACTGGCACAGGCTGCCCAGAGGGGTGGTGGGTGCCCCATCTGTTGGGACACTCAAGGTCAGGCTGGATGGGCTCTGAGCACCTGACGGAGCTGTAGGTGTCCGTGCTCATTGCAGAGCAGTTGGACAAGATGGTCTTTAAGGGTCCCTTCCAACTCCAACGACCCCATTAATTTTGTTGATTTGTACCTCCTTTCCATCTCCATAAAGCTGGATTGTTTTTTTTTTTAAGCATAAATACACTGAGAACCCCGTGCTACAAATGATCATTTCCTGCACATTTGCAGAGCTGGCATTTCTCGCAGGTGCAGTAATATAATCTGCAGAGGGACTTAATGGAAAAAACACCCAGATAGGAGTTTCAAAAACCTTGGCAGACATGACTGACAGCTGTGTCTGGAATGGGTTTTAGGGGAAGCCCCTGCAAGAATTTGCAGCATGAGTAGCACCCCATGCAACACAGTGGGGAGATGCTTTTAAGCATGACCACAAGTCTGAAAGGGCAGCTCCTGGGACAGGGCTGCTCCATGATATAAGTGGTGTAACAGAGGGAGGAGGTGTGGTAAAATCCACACAGACAGGATCTGGGCCCTGCTCTGCCCAAGCCATGCGGTCAGGCCTCTGTCCCATTAACCATCTGCCTGTTCCTGGCAGGTACCACAATGGCTCCCTGCTGGATCCTTCTATATATAGATACAAAAACAACCTTATTCTGAAGAACCTGAACAGAGGGCAGGCAGGAGAATATTTCTGCAAGGCCATCAGTGATGGAGGTTCAGCAAAATCCCAACCTGCCACGCTTTCTGTAATAGGTAAGAGAAAACGTGTGTGATTTGCTCGAAGCAGCAGGGGTACAGAAAGTGCTCAGAAATTATGACCCATGCATGAAAGGAAAGGTGCAGGAAAAACATTCAGGTGCTATTTTACGCACCCATTAGCAGATAAGCCTGACTGTGCTGGTTATCAGCCAGCTGCTCGCTACAATCCGGAGCTCTGGGTTTCAGAATGACCTGCCAAACTTAATCCACTGGGCAGCCATTTCTCACTGTAATCACTGCCCAGCGTGTGAATATTTCTGTTTCTTTTTTAAATCCTGGGACCCATTTAAGTCTGTTCATAGCCAAGAAGCCAGGCAGCTGCTGAGCATGTAGCTGGTAAGCAGGAGCTGGGACACTCCTGCAAACAGCACTGCTCTTAATCAGGTGCCTTAAACTTAAGCTGAGCACCTGCTGCAGTGTAACAAAGGCCAGATGAATCCAGCTAACCAAAATTCTGCAAACCATCTGTTTTATTGCTGCAAAAGCCTCCCTGTGATTGGAAGCAATGTTTAGCTCAGAGGGTTTCTGACCACATACAGATGACTGTACAATTATTTCATGCTGCTCATTAAGAAATGCTATTCAACAGGAAAACAAGAGGCAGCCTGCAGCTCCCAGCCCCAAAGCCACCTCATTCGTCTTCCGCACGACTGTTTCCAAAAAGCAACTGACTCGTTCTACTACGACGTGGGCAAGTGCCCAGCAAGGACCTGCGTTGGGAAGCTGGATAAGGGGCTCCGCTGTAAGGACAACATCTCCTACTGCTGTGGGGTGTCTAAGATGGAAGTGAGAGAGATCCTGTGCGATGGGTACACGCTCCCCACCAAAGTCGCCGTAGAATGCGGTTGCAAAAAATGCACCGAGACAAAAATAACAGTTCGGGGCAGAGCTACAGCGGTGGATAACGGTGAGCCACTGAGATTTGGCCACATCTACATGGGGAACAAGAGAGTGAGCATGACTGGCTACAAGGGAACCTTCTCCATCCATGTCCCACCGGATACTGAAAGACTGGTTCTAACCTTCGTTGATCGGCTGCAGAAGTTTGTGAACACAACAAAAGTTTTGCCGTTCAAGGAAAATGGAGGTGCTGTGTTTCATGACATTAAGTTACTACGAAAGAAAGCCCCTGTTACGCTGGAATCCACTGAAACCAGTGTAATTCCTTTGGGAGAAAAGGAAGACGAGGATCCTATTGCTGAATTAGAAATCCCTCCTGATTCATTTTACAGGAAGAATGGAGAACCTTACAGAGGAAAAGTGAAAGCCAGCGTGACGTTTCTGGACCCAAGAGAACTCTCAACAGCGCCTGTGACACAAAGCGACCTGAACTTTGTAGATGACGAAGGAGATGTGTTCCCACTCCGCACGTATGGCATGTTTTCCCTGGACTTCACTGATGAACAGGGCACCGAGACTCTTAATGCAGAAGATGTGAAGGTCCACTTGGACACCGCTCAGGTGAGGATGCCAGAGCACATACAAGAAATGAAGCTTTGGTCACTGAACCCTGAGACAGGCTTATGGGAGGAAGAGGGGGACTTCAACCTGGAGAAGAGCAGACGGCGCAGAAGAGAGGAGAGGACTTTTTTGGTTGGGAACATGGAGATCAAGGAAAGGCGGCTTTTTAACCTGGACGTCCCAGAGAGCAGACGGTGCTACGTCAAAGTCCGAGCATACAGAAGCGAGAGATTTTTGCCAAGCGAGCAGATCCAAGGGGTGGTGATTTCTGTTATAAACACGGAGCCAGAACCAGGATTCTCCTCCAACCCCAGAGCATGGGGCCGTTTTGACAGCGTGGTCACTGGTCCCAATGGTGCTTGTGTGCCAGCTTTCTGTGACGAGCAGAACCCGGAGGCCTATGCAGCTTACATTTTGGCGAGCTTGGGGGGTGAAGAACTTGAAGCAGTGCCCTCTGCTCCCAAACTCAATCCTAATGCCGTTGGCGTCCCACAGCCATATCTCAACAAGCTCAACTACAGGAGAACAGACCACGAGGATCCTAACACAAAGAAAACCGCATTCAGAATCAATATGGCCAAGCCAAGTCCAAATTCTGCAGATGAGAACAATGGCCCTATTTATGCCTATGAAAATCTGAAAGAATGTGAGGAAGCTCCATACAGCGCTGCTCACTTCAGGTTTTATAGGATAGAGGGAGATCGGTATGACTACAACACTGTTCCCTTCAGTGAAGATGACCTCATGAGCTGGACCGATGACTATCTGGCATGGTGGCCCAAACCCATGGAATTTAGGGCTTGCTACATAAAAGTCAAAATTAATGGACCCCAAGAAGTGAACATAAGGTCTCGCAACATGGGTGGGACGCATCCACGCACCATTGGCAGGCTCTATGGCATCAGGGACGTCCGCAGCATTCGGGATCCTGAGCAGCAGGACGTGTCAGCAGCCTGCCTGGAGTTCAAGTGCAGTGGCATGCTCTTCGACCAAGACCGTGTGGATCGCACGCTTGTGAAAGTCATCCCACAAGGCAGCTGTCGCCGGGAGAGCGTTAACAGCATGCTCCACGAGTACCTGGTGAACCACCTCCCCATGGCTACCAACAACGATTCCAGTGAATACACAATGCTGGCACCCCTTGACCCCCTGGGGCATAACTATGGCATCTACACCGTCACCGACCAGGACCCGAGGATCGCCAAGGAAATTGCTTTGGGCAGGTGTTTCGATGGCACATCAGATGGCAGCTCCAGAATCATGAAGAGTGATATCGGTGTTGCACTGACTTTCACCTGTTCGGAGAGGAGCGCAGCAGAGCAAAGCTTATTTGAGTCCCAGAGGAACTTAGGCCAGCAGTCCGTGCAGGTACCACCAAGGGAGAGCCCTGCATACCAAAGGCCGGTGGGAAGCCGCCAGATCACCCAAAGCAGAATCCAGATGAGAGGTCAACGTCCTTCTTCATACTAGAGCTATAGAGGAGCCTAGGTAAAGTCACTCACGTTTGATTTAAAAAAAAGTATCTACCTGCAAATAGCCTAATTCAAAGCAGGTAGATGTCAGCAATTTTGACATTATATTCCCCTCCCACTCCCTTTTTTTTTTTTAGTTTTATTTTTGCATTGCACCGCAAAGGAAAGATATAAGGCAGTCCTTGTAAGTGAATTCCTGCCTAACTAAAAGCATCAAAAAAATCTGAGATAAAACAACTTCACCTGATAGCCTAAAGGGAAGACTAAACACACAGTTCAATTAAGTCACGTACACAAGACATCCTCCTATTCTGCATTTGCAGACTTTGCCAGCCCAAGTACCTTACAGTAGTTGGTAACACAAAAAGGAATAAACTGATTTTCCCATACTGAATTCAACTGCAAGGTTTTGTACTTGAAATGTAAGTATTTTATTTATTTCTAGCTTGTTTTAGAATGATTGTATTCGAGATAAACTACCACCAGCTGCATTTCTAAGAAGTCACATGCTTGAGAGCACAGAGAAGCCATATGGATTTGTAGGCTCCGCATGGATAAAATTAGTTTTCTCTTGCTTCTTGCATGGTTTTTCTTCTCAAGTAATGCTCTACAATAGGGTAGATGAATTTAAAAAAAAAAAAAAAAAAAAAGCCATTTTGTGTAATTTTGGCAATGCTATATTACCTTTGTGTTTGACATGCCCAAGTAAATAAACCATGTGTAGAGCTGACCAAAGAACAACCTACAAAATTTCACTTTTCAATGTGAGACTGACACTGGGTATTGGAAAGGGATTTGGTGGGTAGCTGCTGCTCCCAAGTCCAAGGCATTGCCCCAGAACGCTGCAGTCAGGGAATCAGTCTCCAACTTGCAAGCAGCACCACATCCATGAGATTAAGAGGGGCAGCAAGTGCTGGGAGGTCAGGGCAAGGGGTGCCTAAAAGGGAGCAGCAGAGTTCCTAGAGTTTGAGAGCACTGGGAAGGAAAAAGGCTGGGGACAAGTGTTTTAAAGATGACAGAAAATTTAGGTAACACATAAACACAGATGGCCACAGAAGAGGTCGGAGTGTGACCAAACTCCAAGAGCTCTACTTAACACAGTGCCCTACAAAACCCCACAGCCTTTGCACCACTACTTGTAGAGAGGAATCTGGGATCTCATCAGCACAGAGCACATCCCAGGTTTGCACCCAAACATATCCGGCAAACTTTTTTGGAGCAGGTAAGCCAACAGGCCTCCAGCACTCAAATCTTCACAGACAGGGATCACAAAAAAAGGGCTCCTTTTTAACGAAAACTGACTTGAAACGCACGCCCCACTGTGGATTTCCCTCTCTCCTACCACTTGTTCCTCTCCTACAGATATTAATACAATCCTGATACAGGTCTGTGTCTTACCTAGAGCTCATGAAGGGTATGGGGAATCTTTCAATAGCCTTTAGCAACATCTGGAACAGCTTCTCAGGTCTGTCATGAAGCATCTTGGATATTAAACTCAGGACTGTGCAGGACTAAATGCCAATGCAGCCTGAACTATGCTTAAAACAAAACAAAACAAAACAAAACAACACAACAACAAATCTTTATAGTCTTTGTTTTCATGCAAATTGACAATTAACAAAGAGAAACAGAAAAAGACGAGCTATGGAATACTTTGGCACAACTTCTTCATACCAATGAATTTAGACTGCGTGTTTTCTTTTGTGTCTAGTCTGCTGCAAGGGCTTGGCACGAGCTGGGGCCAAGGCAGCCAGTGGGGAGCATTAGCTTAGACCTTCCCACAGAGCTCTTGGCTTGCACTGCAGACTTACAGAGAAACGTCTCTTCTCTACACAGACAGTCAGCCAAATCCTGACCCTGGTTTCATCATTTTGTGAGTGAAGTAATGCAAATGACTTCTCCAGATCAACCCAGGAGTTACTGGGAGGAAAACGGGTTCAGGATCTGGTCCCTGTGCTACCAAGGGACTTACCAGAGCCAAAAGGCAGTGTTTAAGGCTCTTACTTTGCTGTTAAACAGAATTTTCTCCCCAGTGAAGTGGTGACAGCCCTGAAATTCTGCCTACCCATGAAACAGCAAGAAGTTCTCCAAGTTTCCCCAAGCTGTCCCCCACTGCAGCTTAATTCCAAGTTGGAGAAACAAGCTTATCGCTGCACTGAGTCCCTGAGCCCTCAGAAGAGACTGCTGACAGAGTACACTGCATATAAAGCAGAACAGAGAGGTTTCAAACATGGGCACTGAAGTACTATTACCAGAAAAGAAGCCAAAAACTACCACTCAGAGTTAACACTTCTTCACCACTGATAAGTCACCATGTCAAATAAGTCAAGAGTTTATGTAGCAGAAAACTTACAGCACATCCTAATCTTCACCCTTCACAGCAGTTTTATGCTACAGTTCAATAATATGACTTTTCCAGTTCCTGAGTACCTATGTTTATGGTCATCGTACTACAGCATCCCTTCTGCAACCTGAAACCTAAGGCACACTCCCACATATCAAAGGAGAGCATCAACTCCAGGAATGCAGGGAGGCTGTGACTCAGCTCCTCCCTCTGCATTAGTTTTCAGACCACCAACCTTGAGAAGCAGGCTGAAGCAAGAGGCCTTGCTCCCAAACATCTGTAGGTTTAGGGCTAATGGCAAAGAAGCTTCCATTAAGGTCACCTGGTTTCCAATCCCAGTGACCTCTCTCTCCTCTTATTATTAAGAAAGGAAAAATAGTACCTCCCAGAAGCTATCTGGCTGTCAGCAACGAGGACAAACACAAGTAGAGATATTCTCATCTGAACTCAACCTTTGCATTATTCATTGATTTCCCCAAACAACTTTTCTAAAAGCCTAAAGTATTACTGTGATTAATCACCAACACTCCTTGTTTGTATTTAGTAGAAAACAGGAAAAATGTTTCCTAGGAAGCGGGGGGACTGGTAAGATTTGATTATAGAACAGATGCAACCAACTGCTAGTCATCAGCATACTAGAAAATATCACTCCCTGTAACATTTACTTGAAACACAAGATGAAGTCATCCCTGCTGAACACCAGAGCCCGTCTGGTAACCAAAGGTTTTGCAGTTCTAGCAGTAACTTGGCTTCAGTGCTCCTGAACTGAGCCCTAGTGGATGCTGGGTCTATGAATATCTCTGCTGTGCTTCCTCTCTCCAAGAGGACAGCTGTTTTATTCTGCTAATATCACTTTCCAACTGCTAGGGTGGCTGTGCTGGAGCAAAACAGTAGTCCTGGGGATTGAATCACCACGTCTATGTTCCAGAGTCAACCTTGACATGCTATTCCACACCTCATCAGTGAATGCCCTATTCTTGTTTTGCCTGATCTGCAAAAATAATCAGATTTTCATTACCTTCTGGATTAAATCCCCATAGAGTCAGGTGAAGGAGAAATTTCCAAAGAAACATTTTGGCTAAGAGCTGCCTGGGGAACTCCAATTCCCTTTAAAGCTCCTCCACCATGTCAAAGATTTCCTCCATAAAGAAATAAATTAAGCATAATTCCTCCATAAAACAACTGCAGAAAGTTGTGCATATTCAAAGCTAGGATAACCAACAGCTAAGCTACAGCAAACTGTCTGATCTTTGATAAGCTCTTGTAGAGAAAGAAATTTTGAGGAGATTAACTTCAAAACATATAGGAATTCTGGCCACTGCACAGTTTAGAGATTATTTGGTATTAAACATAACTAAAGAGATACTGAACCAGATTTTTCAATATCTTCTGCCCACTGACCTTGTTCTTCCCCTAGAAGCGATGCAGTGAGCACCACCTACTGGGTGTCCGAGTGTATGCCTCTTCAAACTCCCTGTAAGACAGAAGGAAACGGCTACCCTGCACTTCAGAACTGAAATCATCACCACCACCACGACTGCCTAACAGCAATACATCTCACACAAGGCATAATCTCAAACTGCCAGTAGGAGATGTGCAGATTGCCCCATGGATTCTTGTTGATGCCAACAGTTAAAGCAGACACTGCTAGTTGGAAGCCAGTACCAGCTACCAGCAATAATGCCACTCAGCAGGAACACTGCTTTGCTCACATCAGTTAGGAGCGATATGCTCTGACCAAAAGGGTTTGCTCTCTGAATAATTTAAACACAGCAGAATTGAATGGCACCTTTGGTAAAATCTAAAAATGAAGTAATTCAGAGGATCTTTCTCTGGGATCCCTACACAGTTCTTTGCTGCTATGATGCCACAACAGGTTCAAGAAAAGCAAAGGAGTTTAAGTTAGAAGAACTTCCAAGGAATTTTGTCAGCAGTTTTAAAAAGTCTGCAGCACAAACTGCATGCTGGAGGCTGCAAGAAGATACAAAGGAATTCTCCACAGAAGTCCAACTTCCACCTTACTGGTGCTTGCAGCTTTTGCACAGACATGGATTTCATGGAGGATCATGTGTTCTAGACAACCTGTCAGAACAGATTCACTGTTGGACCAATGGCAGGGGAAGAAAAATACTGCAGCATCCGCTTTAACAGATGCTTCTTCACAAACATTTGAATCCACATTATATAACACTTTTTTTTTTATTTTAGATTTTGCTCTCATTCAGTGAGTCACATTCAAGCACGTCATGTTCCTGCCACCTTGACGTAAGTATCATGCATTCAACACATAACTTGAGCTTTAACATTATGCCACAACTGCTTGAAAAGGCAGGAAAGGTCAGGAAACCCTGAAGAGCCAAAAGGACAGGTGGAAGAGGATGTGGCTTGCAATTCTGTTTTTCTCTAAGGCTCACAAAATTTCTGTGCAAATGCTGTAAATAAGAAGCTAACAGAACTGTGCCTCACTAGTCAGAGTAACTTTAGTAACTGCTTTTACTGCAACAGTATTCAGAAAAAAAGAAGGAATACACTGAGCAAATAATGCTACAGCAGCTCCTATCACCTGCCTTATCTTCATTTTGTTGCTCTCCTTAAAGTGTTACAGGCTTTTGTCTGCTTTTCTGAAACTACGTATGAATTACAGAGAAGCAAGGGAATGTTTCTAGATTGAAGCATCTGAGCAAAGCTTAAGCTTGAAGGAAGTTATACTGAAAGTCCAAGAAAAAAAAAAAAAAAGATTGAAAACATGATATAAAAATCGATTTATTACCCAACAGTGGAAACAGATTTATTCACTGCCCTTGGTGTATACAGAGATTCTGCTCCTTAATGGGATAAAAGAAATGATCATCATCAGGGATCCAAGATGAGAACAGAATGCTTGACAGTAAGGTCACGCATTCTGGGAAGGAAAACTTCACCCAGTTACTGTTTGGAATTGAAATATTTTATATTAACTTACAGATATACTTTAAGATGTGGAAAAAAACATCTATCGCTTTATATCCTGCAACAATACTTCCTTCTCTTTCAGAGTCTTCTTTGCTGTGTTAAGTTTGAGCGTTTGAAACCTGCATTCCTGATGAACCGTTCTTGAGTTCTGCTGGAACCAAGAGTGCATATAGCCATTGTAGAAGTCAACAGCTGTAAGCTTCTTCTTTAATACTACTGTTTTGAATCCAACCCAGCCCTCCTAGAAAATACAAAAAAAAACAACAAAGAACAGCAGTAAGCTTCTTCCATGTTTTAAATATTAGGTTGACTTACTAAATGTGTTCTGTATCACCAAGCTTATGCTATGAGTTGAGTCAGAATTCCCAGTTGCAAATGGAAAGTCTGTTACTGAAAATAAAAAGCTCTTTCAGGTATCAAGTAAAAAGACTGATGCTGATCTAAACTACGTCAGTGAATAACACTGGACAATTAAGATAGATGTTAATAATAGATACCAAAAACCTCATCTTTAAGGCAATGAATACAAAAACAGAAGCCTACCTTGCAACGAGCTATCAGTGTTTGGGACATTTTATGGTAGAGCAGTGAGCCAGGAACAGCTCCATGGTCACTTAATACTTGATCTAGAAGCAAAAAAGATTGCTTTGCAGTTTTATGCAAACAAGCAAAAGAAATTTAAAACACTTGTCTCTGAAATACAGTTACTTTGTGTTACTATTTTGCTCAATAATATTTTACCATATTCTACGTTTTATTATACTCAAAAAAGCAGGAAAGAATCAGAACGGTCACTCTCTAGCGCTGCTCCCTACCTCACCCACAGGCAGCCATTAAGTCCTGCACACTTCAGTACAGCACTCAGAGCATGCAAAGCTCTCAGATTCACAGGTGACTACAGAAAATTGTTTAAGTGATAACACAGATCTAGCTTCGCTCTTGGGAAATCACGAGGCATCAGCATTACAACAGGATCTCTCAACTCATTACAGAATTAAAATAATCAAAGCTCGGGATTTACAGAGCTATGCCTGCTGTTCTCTCATTGCCATCACAAAGCAGGAACAACCTTAGAATCCCTATCATGCTCACCTTTGGGCACAGAAATTCAATACACTTTTGAGCACATTAGACTACTTTAGTTATACCAGTTTCAGAAAGCAGTACCTGTTCAGCACAATTGTGTACAATCTTCAAGTCGGTGCTTGCAAACACACAAGAACTTTACTTAACAGATTAATTTAAGAGCACATACCAGCAGAACCAAGGATATTGTCCACTTCTACAAAATCCAGAAGTTTAACAGTACTGCCCTTCCAAAGCGTCTGCAAAGGAAACTGCAAACAGAAGCAGACAACACACTGGGACAATTTTCATCATTTCCACTCTAGTTTCTGTTGTTTTGTTGCTTTCTGTTTGTTTGTTTTCTTTTTTTTTTTTTTTTTCCATTTCCCTCCCCTTACACTAGACATCCTCTGCTGGAGGACAGAAGAGAGTTAGGAAATCTACTCTTACCATACTTCCTATGGCACGATGCAGCTGAATTATCTGTGCAGCTGTTTGCTCTTCCCAATTTATACAGCTCTTAGCTACAGATATTTTAGGAGCTAGGAGAAAAAAATACATATATCTGATTTTAAGCCAGAGGCAGCAGCAGAGAAACCACAGTAAAAAAGATATCTAAATAATAAAAGAAAAAATAAAGTTGCATTATTAAAAAAACAAAAAGCGCACCTACCAAATGTTACTCCTCCTTTTGGTTGCTCTTTTTTATTTTTTAAGCTTTCAGGCAAGTTTTTCAAAACTGACAGCAGCTGCAAAATAAATGTTAGTAAAGAACACTGGGAAATCTGAGTATGTTTAGTGAAAGGAAGACTAAATCTAAGACATATAAATGCAGCACTTCATTTTTTATTAGTCAATCTTTCTCACAGATTTCAGAAAATCTGGTCACAAAAACCTGAGTATAGCATAGACACAACACTGGCACTTCTCACAATAAAAAAAACAAGTACTCTTTTCTGGATGATCTGCTCTATGATGTTAACCCTAGAACAGACTGAAAGCTGATTTTTAAGATCAACAAGCAAACATTCTCTTCAACAAAAGAAGCAGTTGCACTGTTTCCACACAAAGCGAGTTCTTCACTGATTACAAACAGAATAGCAACGCACAGGGATCAACACCAACAGCTTATCACACACCACTTAAATTTTCCTCTCAGTGAGAGATAATATTCACAAATACTAAATTTTGGATCATTCTCCTCCTAACAACTGTAGCCAACTGAGAACAAGATTACAAAGAATAGCTGGCATGTTGAAAGCAAGGTGCTGATCAGAGGCAATATCAGCTTGCATGACTTTACCATGTTTGCACCCATCTCTGCTAATATCACTTCCAACTCCTTTGTTGTACATTGAGGAGGAACAGGACACTCTTCTTGCTTAATAATTGGACCCACATCAAATCTACAAAGCAGAAAACATACAAGCTTACAGGAGGAAAAACTCTGGTTCAACTAACAGTTCAAAATTTTACATTAAATATGTTAACTTTGTTACACTTTTTTTTTTTTTTTTTTTTAAATAACAAAATAGAAATTTTAAACATTGGCTCATATGAGAAACGGGGAAAATGGGAATCATTTTACCAAGCAAGACTCAAGCTTCAGTAACTGTAAATACAATTTACAGTTCAGACATATAAAACTTCAGAAGAAACAACCTGAAACATTCAGAAGAATTTTTTCCATATTTTCCTGAGTTCTGTTATCAGGACAATTGTCTAACAAAGAAACCGAACTATGATGTGCTTTCACAAGCCATCTAAGCCAGAACTTCTGCTGAAGCTAAAATAGATTATCCCTCTTTTCCCAAGACAAGCAGTTTCTTGCCCTTTCTTACAGTAGGTTGTGGACAGCTCTGAAGACTGAAAGCCCATTATTTTCTGTGCTGTCATACCAAACCTATCAATCCATCTGCACTGACCATTTGATCTGCCTGCTCTCTGTAATAACATTAAAAATTAAAGAACAGGGTGGGAATTCTTTAAACGTATGTAATGATTTCAATATTAACCACACATTTAAAGATTACTGAGGAGCACTTAGTACAAAAAAACATAGCATTCCAACGAGGGAATAATTTCACCAATAAAGACTAGTTTTTAAAACGTTAAAAAACTAAATCATCATCACAGCAGCCTAGAGTACAAATTACACACATTAAATCTATGGCAAGTCTCATATTCTAAGTGCTTCATATTTTAATATTAAACAAGCACTTAAAAAAAAAAAAAAAACAAACAAAACCAACAGCAACTAGTGATTACACAGAGCAGCAGCAGAGAGTTGTTTTGGGAACACACCTCTTTGGTCTTATTTCCATAACTGTTACCCCGGTCACTTTGTCACCATGAAGTACTGTGTGGACTATTGGTGCAGGACCACGCCACCGTGGGAGGCAGCTGGGATGGACATTCAGCACACCACTGAAATGAAGTTTGAGTAGGAACAGTAACTGAAATTTATGTTAATGTGTGTGCAACAGTACATTGGAACTACTTCACGAATTACCTGCTCAGAACTTCTGAGATTTAATGACACACATAAGGGAAATTCACACTATGTAATCTTCAACTTCCCAGCAAACATTCAAGTGGAAGGAAACAACAGGTTATGCTGAATGTTTGCATAGATTTCTATCAGCATGATAAAAAGCCTTACAATAACAAAAGGACTCAGATAAGCAGGTAATTTCATGGAAGATGTTCACCTCACCAGCTGCAAGTTACAGGCATAGAATGCAATAACAGTCAAAAATAGAGCTTGTTTAACTAAGAAAGCAGCTGCAGATGTCAACTCACTTACTATGGGAACTGCAGAATAAGGTCCTCGCTCAAGAGACGCCCAAACGATGCCACCACACCAACATCAAACTGCCCCGCAGGCCCTGTCTGTGGCCACTCGTGCACAGGCAGCTGGAGCTCACGGGCACAGCTCTTCACAGGCAGTTCTACAGGCAGACGGGAGGGCAGTGTCACCACCTCCAGCCTGGACACAAGCAAGCCCCTGCTGGGCTCCCTGAGATAGGAAAAGAATTGGAGAACTCGTGCAAGCAGGACTAAGGATAGTCAGTCTGCTCACACCCCACCCTCACCTCACCTTCCTACATCGCCTGCCTCTCCGCACGCCAACCTCCAGATGGCCCCCGGACTGTCAGCCCAACCCTCTCCCCAACCCCTTTTCAATCCCAGACACTCTTATCAATTTCGTCGCCCTCTGTAGCTTGCTTCCTCACCACCGACACATTCGTGATCCCACGATCTCAGCCGCAAAGCACAGCCGCTGCCCTCCCCACCCATACCGACACCCACACTCACCCCTGGGCCCTGCCCTCCCCCAGAGGCCTCCAAAGCGCACACCATCACCGGCCCAACCTGGCAAACCTCGCTGTCTAAGCTTTCCGAGCAGTACCTGGCGGCCTGCAAGGCACGCAAAGTAGTAACAGCGAAGCGGTCGGTGCCAAAGAACAACACCCGCCATGGCGGCTCCCGCCGAGGCCGCACTCCGCTGTCCGCCGCCTTCAGCCCCTCGCGCCAAGCGCGGAGAAGCCGCCCCCGCATGGCGGCACTTCCGGCGTAAAAAGATTACGTCACGAGTGGGCAGCGCCCTCTTCCCTAGGGGCTGCTGTGGGACGCTGCCGCCATTTTGTGGGCGGGGCCGCCATTTGAGGGCAGAACCGCCATTTTGAGGGCGGGACAGCCATTTTGGGGCGGAGCAGCCATTTTAGGGCGGAGCCGCCATTTTGAGGGCGGGACAGCCATTTTGGGGCGGAGCAGCCATTTTGTGGGCGGGACAGCCATTTTGGGGCGGAGCCGCCATTTTAGGGCGGAGCCGCCATTTTGTGGGCGGGACAGCCATTTTGGGGCGGAGCAGCCATTTTAGGGCGGAGCCGCCATTTTGTGGGCGGGACAGCCATTTTGGGGGTGGGGCCGCCATTTTGTGGGTGGAGCCGCTATTTGTGGGTGTGAGGGGGAAAGCAGGGGCAGCCCCCTGGCCCTCCTCACCATTGGCTGCTCAGCCCCAGTGCAAAGGTAATGTGGGGGCAGGAAGGGATGTTGACACGGCGGCCACTGCTTTCCCCTGGCTCCAATGCAGTGTTCAAGAAGCTAATGGCTGTGTCCTGCTCTGCACAGTTTCGTTCTAACAGTGATTATAGTTTAAAGAATGTTTTCTTGTAAACCACGAGGTCAGGATAATCACTTAAAGAAGTGTCTTCTCCCATAACATAAGAACAAAAATATTTTATCATTTTGCTGAGAACATTCTTTCCCTGCTTGGGATGGTGGTTTACTCATGTAGAACTTCCTTTAATGCACATTGCCTCCAAAATTCCTTGTACATCTCAGTCTCGATATATCTCAGTATCTTTGATGCTAGTAATTTCTAAAATGTAGCACATGAGAACCTGTAAACAATTTCTATGTGCCAGGGAAAAAAGAAGGAAGAGGTGGAAATAGAGGGCAGGTGATGACAAGGTACCCCAGGGAAAGGTCAGTAGGGAAAAGGAGATTCTGTGTCACATAGAATGGCGCTGCCTGGTTTTACTCTCTCTGTCACATTTGTCCATCGTTTGGGTTTTATTTTTCCCTCTGGTAAAGAAAATGCCTCCATCTCCTTTGGTAGAAGCAGAGAAGAATTAATGAGAAAGCGTACGTGAGAAAAGGAAAAAAGCCAAGTGATTCTAACAGTGTCAGTTTTGTACCCTGACAAAATGAGATAGCACATAGAGAAATAATTTCCTAGTTGAGCATCAACACATTGATTTTGTGTGCTCCAGAAAGTTAATTCTCTGTTAGCTGTGCAATTCTCTGTCATTCGTGGAGCCCAGTTGGGTCACATTTAGGCCTCTCTGCAATTCCAGCCAGCTCCTCAGTGTGCAGGGTGAAAGAACATAGCAAAAAATAGATGAACAAAAGAGTAACAAGGGTGAAGGAGTGGCACCTGTTCAAGGAGAGGTTAAAGAAACCGGAGTATTTCTGCTTGGAAAATATGTAGGAAAGAGGCAGTCTGACAATCTGACCATAAATAATGTGAGGCTGGTAAACAAGGAACAATCAGTTGTTGCACAATAACGGTGAGATTACAAAAAATATTATCAGGCCCTTACTGGTATCAGGCTCCACAGGAGAGGAAGCAGCGTTCCACACGCTGTGTAATCTGACCGTGTAAATTATCTCAGATTCTGAGAGTATTCAAGATTTCCACAAGCAGAGTGAGCAGTTCACGGGAGGAAGGCTCACGGACCGGCCCTGCAATGCCAGCTTACCCTAAAGCTGGCTCTCATCACTGGTGTTAAGCTCTTGCACGGATCAAACTGAAGACAACATTCTGTGTCTTGCAGATGAGTACCAGCTCCCTGGGTGAACCTTGTATTTATCACCACCACTTTGTGGCCTTCAGAACAGCCTGGAATTTACTGCACGAGTTTGAATGGCCCAAGAAGCTGGCAGTTCAAACCCAGTGTTAGTTTCTTGCTGTTGGATCCCAATACAGTTGGAGCTGACAGTGCCAGTGGCACTGTAAGAAGCTTCAGCTTCAGCCCGTCGTGGATCTTAAACCCAGGAGAAGTATTCTCAGTTTTGACAGTAGTTAAAGCTCCTGGACAAACTGCAAGTCCATGCTGAGATTTTGCCAGACATACTCGTGAAATAATTAATGTTTCATTTGAAGTGCATTTATGAAGTGGACTTAAATTCACTTCAAAATACTTACTCCCAAGTAATCCATCCTCAGCTCTAACAGAACTGTGTAATTCAGTCTACTTTATGCCTTGCCCACAGTGTACATGAATTTTAACTGATAATTCATCTGAATGTGAATTTTTATAGCAGAATGGAAGCAACAACCTAATTGTTTTGTGAAAAAGAAAAAAAAAAAGAAAAAAAGAACAGCTTCCAAATCTTGCTTTCTCGCTGGATTTGAACTCTGCTTTTTTTATATAGAAAAAAAAAAAAAAAGCCTTGAACATTTAGTTATTCTGTAACCAGGCATTTCAGGTCAAAGACACAGAAGAGTTCAAAAAAGATAAGCAAAATTAAAACACCAAGGTCAGAGGAGTTCTTCTTAAGAGGAGTGAAGACAAATCCAATGAGGAAGCAGAACACAAATCAATGTCCTATCTACACTTTGCTTCCTTGCCAAAGACACTGAAAGAGTCTCCAAGAAGTAAATAGATCTCCCATTAGAGTGCCAGTGTTGTCAAGGGAAGCATGAAATAAAACACTCACTGATGAAGAGATTGCTTCTGAGTGCCTCCCCAGAGGATTACTGGGAACAAGAGCCTGCTGTAACCATAGGGGAACTGATTTTATTTCCAGTGCTACATCCTAAAGGCACCTTGGCTACGAGCCTGCATTCTGCCTCTTTTTGTGGGGGACAAGGATTGAAACAGGAGCTACTTTCCTGGTGCACTGATACGTTTTGCTGTCCCATGTCACCCCGCTCTGGCTGTCAGGTTTGGAAGTGGTACAGCAGGGCATTGAGGGTCTCCTGTGCAGGAGGAGCTATTGGGCACCTCTTTCCTTGCACATTTTTCAAAGGCAGTGGGCAAGGGAGTTCGGTTGTGTTGCTCATGGGACCACTTGCTGGCCTGTCACTTGTACCTGGCATAAAGAAAGGCTCACAAGAATGCTTTTCCTTGCTCACAAGGAAACACCTCTCCTAGTGTGATGGCATTTTTTTAAACAGTCCCCCCTGAAATGGGGAGGAACAAAAGAGTGGTTACAGCATGTGTGACACCCTGCTTTGACTTGTCTCCCTCTGAGGTGGGGAGATCTTGTTTCCCAGAGAACATGGTTCTGAGTGAGAGCTCTGACCCGAGCCCTGCCAGGCTGACAACGAACAGCAGAACATCTCCCTCTGGGGAGGATGCATGTATGTGGGATGAAGTTTCACAGGGGCAGCCAGAGGAAACTTTCAGTCGGATGTGGAGTGGGATTCAAAAGATTAATCACTCTGGAACAGGGCTGCAGTGCCAAAGATGCTTTGTTCCAGGCTGGAATACACCCAGGACTGGACAAGCATATGGAGACTGTGCCCATCTCCCATTAAGCTTTAGCTAAGCGGTGCTAGCTGTGTGCACAAAGCCTGGTGTGCCATATGCAGCTCCATTCACGAGTCACGTAGTGCAGTGAGGCTGTATTGAAAAGTTATATTGAAATTCTTCCCAGATGTGACTGGCACAGAAATGCTACACATCAGTCTTGTCAGGCTGTACAGCCTCTTAGCAGCCTGTTGATTTTGCTAACTCACTTGCCAGTACCTGTAAAAAAACGGTGGCACAATCTCTTTGTCTGCAAAACCAGTTGGTATCTAAGATGCTCTGAGAGCCTCAGAATGAGCATTTTCTTAAAAGAAAGAGAGGAAAAAAAAAAAAAAAGCCTAATATCTGATTTATCAGAATGCATTTCCTCTGTGTAACTAGGGCTGAGCCAGTCAGAATGAACAGAATCACTTGTTTTAACCCAGGGTAACTGATTGCAGCGTCATTTACTCAGCGTGCTCTTTTAATACTGATTATGCCAATAGCCTGAGCAAATAAACTGGAAGTTCCTGACGGCTCATTCTTTGGAGAAAGGTCATTCACCCTCTGCTGTGCATGGCCCCACTAAAGAGGTGTGTTTTTTCAGGGACTGGGGCGAACCTCATCTGTTGGACTCCCTTCACAGGTGACTCAGAAGCAGAATGAATCACAGTGCATAGCACTCCGAGAGGACAGGACCTGGTCGCCGTAGGAAGGAGCTGACGGGTGCTTGGGGAGACGTCTTCACACCGTGGGGCTCAGAGACATGGTGAGTTAGCTGGGATTAGCTGCCATTCCTGGTGCTCTCGCCTGTGAGTTCATGTACAGCTACTGTTCCTTGAAAGTTCATTTATTTATTTTGCATAGAAAGCTAAGATTCTCAATTTTAAGTAAAGGCTGCATTTCTCATCTAAGAAGAGACTGAATGGCAAGGGAGGGGTGGGCTGGGATAACATAAACAGCCCTGGAAGCACTTACAGGGACATCTGCTTTAACTGAGATTTGCTCTTTACCTTTTGACTTTTCAAAGCTTGAAAAATAGTACGGTCTGCCTTCCTGTCTCGATGCTTTAAATACTAAACATTCTTCCTGTGTTCTTTAAGTGAACTCAGCTCTCTTGTACCTTCGTATATACAAACTCATCCATTCGTTTCTTCATGATGTGACACTGTATATCCTGTATGAATCCCAAAGACAGGGCGTCCCGCTTGGGTGATATGTTTGGAATAACTGACACAGCTTAACATGATCAGTTAAGACAACCAGCAGATAAAGGGTCTGGATGACAAGAGGAGACGGTTCTACAGAGTCTGGGATGCGACAAGCACATTGTCTCATACTGTGTAGTGAGTATTGAGGAGGGACACCAACAGGATGGCCTTTCCAGATGTTTTTTGTTTCCACCTTATATCACTATAGTGAGCCTCTGAGGACTTGTCATTTGCAGGGTGAGAGCAACATCTGACTTGATAAGCAACCAAAGTGTTAGGCCTGATAAGGATCCGTATAGAAAGCAAAGGTGGCTCCACAGCATGTGTGGAACAAGATCAGTTTTCTTGAGGTTTCATAAAATGCCATCAAATTCCAGAAATCCTAGGTTTGAGCAAGAGGATTTGGGGGTGGCATTGGTGAGTGACTCCTTGTTCGACAAGGACACAGCATCTGCATTTTGCAGGTTTCATTGTGAAAATGCCATTTCCAAAACGAAAACAAAGATGAGATGGCTCAGGTATGAACATACATTCAGAACAGCACAGGCAGAATGCTTCCTTCATAGGCGCTGGCCTTTTTATCCCTTCTGCTTTCCACACATGCTCAAAATGCACGTACTGCCTCTCATTTGTGTTCCCCATGTTGTACCAGATCTGGGAAGCACCCCCTGTCTTCAGAGGCTGTGACCAAATTCCACAGCCTTGAGTTGTCTGAGGCCTGTACCCAAGGGCGTGCCCCCATCCAACGGCTGCCAGGGCAGCTGCTGAGACACAGGGCTACGGGAGCAATGGGGAAGGCATCACCCGCGCTCTCTCACCTTGTTTGGTGATGCAGTGCTCAGCTGAGCTGGGACACGGAGAGCAGAGCAAAGCATCTCCTGAGGAAAGGTGGAGGAGATGACTTTGGAGGAGATCCAAACTCTTGAGGGTGTGCTCGATGTGGGGCTCGCTGCTCCTTAAGGGTTAACTCTGTGCTCTGGGTCGCGCTGGTCAGCCACATGTGGAGGATTGGCAGTCCTGAGGGAGCTCTCCCACGGGGTGCATACAGGCCTGAGAGCACTTTATTTGTAGCTTTGGTGAACAGAACTTCCAAACTAGTTCAGTGGATGTAAAAGATCCTTACATTAAAGGAGTTTCCTTTAAAGGCTTCTACCGACTTGTCCTGCTAATACAAGATAAATATCCATCTTCCCAAGAGGCATCTTTTAGCAATCTTCTGGAGCATTCCTGCTGTGCAGCTGCTCAGAGGTGTCTCTCAAGTTGAGGAACACCTCAGGAGAAAATCGGCAACAAGTATGTCAAATTTTCCTGCTCAAGCAAATGATTAGGCAGAAGCCTTGCACAGCAAGATTTAACGCGTTCAGGTGGCATTCTTACAAGGGTGTAGCAGACTTACAAGCTGATTTCGTTGGCACCAGCACTCCATTTCCTTCTTTCTGGGGAGTGAGCTGTGTGAACAGCTAAAGCTTACCTGGACCGTGAGGCTATTGGCATGCCTAACTGCTGCAAACAGTTTTATTTGTATATTCCGAAGTGTAAGATCAAAGCAGACCACGTGATGTATTTCAGAGTCCTGTCCTAAAAGCATCGCTAACAGGAGATTTTCTGGCAGCAGGGAGCAAGCCTGCATGCATGATTGGCTATAAACTGTGGACTTTGAATTGTGAAGACATTGAGAGTGGGGGGTGGAAATAGGAGCAATCATTAGGTCTATAACCGATAGGACAAACGCCTGCCCATGGAGTCAGCAGGAGTGTTACTGACACAACTGGTGCTGTGGAACATGCCTGTGAGTGACTTCCAGGGAGCAGCTTCAGTCAGCTCCTGGCCATGCTATAAATACAACTAGAAGTTGTGAGTACCAGACAGCCACTAAAGTCCAGCCTTCAGATAATAATTAATCGCCCGTGGGGCCATTCACCTATGAGTGGATGACAATTCAGATAAAGCCAGTGAGCAGCGACAGCATCTCTACTGCCTCGTAGCTGAGCAGTGGGCTGAGTAGATCCAACATTTCTGGTTTCAAGAGAACTTAGAATGGGCAGTTTTCCTTGCCTCTGACTCCATTCCTTCCCTTGGCAGTCATTAGTCTCCAGGCAATATCCTTGGTAGTGCTGGCTGCACTCAAGCTGTGCTTTTATGGGCTGTGTGGACAAAACTGCCCCAGCTCACATTGTCCTGGCAGCCTCATGGACTGGGAGGTGGCAGAGATGCAGTCAGGCTGGGTGGGATGGGACCAGGGAAAGTGAAAGTCTTCTGCTCAGATCAGGGCCCTCTAAGGGAGGCTGAATAACTACATTGGACAAGCAGCTGTAAAACCTGGACTAATGCCACTGACAAGCGGGGGACTAAAGGTCAAGGAATTGCTTTCTGCTTCCTGTATGAATGGGAGATACCTTTGCCTCAATGGCAAGCAGGCTATTGTTCCTCTTGAAGCTGAGCCTTCTTCTCCCTCATCCCACACCCTTATGAGCACAGATTTGTTAAAAAGATTATCATTTCTACTTGTACTTTTGTCCCATCTTCTGTAGACATCAGAAGAGAAACACAATGGCCCCCTGTCTGCACTCCTTGTGCTCAATAACTCTTGTAACTTCCAGGGCTCTTGGTGACTGAATCTTCACCTCTTGCCTTTCTTTCCCAGGCATCTGCAAACTGAAGAAACACCGGTGAAGTCGTGATCCACCGCAGTTGCACAGACAAATATGAAGTTACTCTGGATTATCTCATTTTTTCTGCTGCAAGGTAGAGTGTTCGCTTAGAGGACAATGGTGTGGGTGAAGTAGGTTACATTTGCTAGGGCTGTGTGTCTTTATGGGCTCACCCACTCCAGGCTCAGCAGGGGTTACAGCATGAGGTTGTGTGCAGGGCAGGCTCACAGGAGCTGGAGGCACATGTACAAGTGTTTCCAGCGTTGTTGTATGGCCTTACAAATGCCTCACTGGCTGAGGGCAAACACCTCTTTGAGTGTGCACATGTAGTATCATGGCAGAGGCGTGCATACATGGACCTCAGCTATCTGGAAATAGGTCTTTTCCATCTCCAGGACATGGCCCTCTTTTTCTCACAATACACCATGAGCAGCTGGGCCTAGGCACGAGGAAATCTGCACCCTAGACCTTTGTTCACAGCAGTATTGCAGCCTCTTTTGCACCAAGGAGGACGCCTGACTGTCATGAGGGTGACACACGAACTGTGTGTGGGTGTCCATGCTTACATTCTGATTTCTTTGCAGACACTGAAACCTTCCTGCTGCAAAATGCTAAAGTCAAGCAGTGTTTACAGGCCAGCCTAACGGATGGGGATTTATTGCTGTCAGACTGTAATTCAGCATCAGATTTCCAGAACTGGTTCTGGCAAGGAGATTCTTTGAGGAATTATGGCACACAGAGCTGCCTCTCCGTGGTGGAAGCCGACAGAGTGCAGATAAGTCCTTGTGAAAGCGTGGGCTTCACGAGCTGGAACTGCTCCAATTCGTTGCTCTTTCCTCTGGGCAGCAGCCAGGGCTACCTGGTGGCAAGCAAAAAAGGAGTCGTGCTCGAGAATGTGAGAGGTCTCAAGGCTCAGTGGCAAAGTGCTGCAGAGAGCAGTGTGTGCAAGGAGAAACCAGGTCAGTGCTGCCCGTGGGGCCCAGTGCACACGCACTGCTGGGAAATGTGGGAGGGCAGTGGGCACCCTGGGGTCTTTCCAGCTCTGGGTGCCCCACCTGGGGACAGTGCAGAAATGCATTCCTCAAAGATGCTCCCTCCTTTCTGAGCATATGAAATGAGGTTTTGCATCAGAGCTTCATTCTGTTTGCTTGAAGAGATGTCAGGGACAACCCTGGGAGCTAAGGGGAAGGCTATTTTTTGCCTGCAGTGAAAGACCATCATGGCTTTCTGTTCTTTTCCTCCACAGCAGCACAATATAGCTACTTAGCCGCAGCCCTTACCAGCACAGACGTGTATGACCACACAGCATACAGTGCTGGCCTTCTGCTGGATATGGAGCCAGAAAAGCTGGAGGAGCTGCTGTGGTTCTTCCGCAGAGAAGACTGTAAGTCCCATCGATTTATGGGGTTGAGAGTTGACACAGAAATGTACAGTCTTTGGATGTGAACCCTCCTGCTACTTGAGGTGCCTGAGAGATTTATCTAAGGGGGTTACTTACCCCAGAAATACAAACCTCCAAAGGAAGTGGGACATGCCTGAGGCCAAGGCACGAGGCTTTGCTGTGATCTGGTTTAGAGAGCTGTGACAGGCAGGAACCAATTCTGCAAGTCTCCAACCCAGTGAGGGAGGGTTGGCTGAGGTTATCTCCAAAAACAAGAGCTGAGTGTTCTGCTTTTGATGCTGAACACCTTTGGCCTCAGCTTGCAACTGAGATATAGCAGCCAGGGTGTAGGGATTGTTAAGGAAACCTGGCTGGGCTCTGCAGGACACACTGCTCCATGCATGCCAACACTGCCTGTTTGTGCTTTCCCCCAGCATCACCATGGAATTACTCCATCCTTGCTCTTTCCTTCGTGGTCACAATTTTGGGTTTTGTCCTTCTGTCCATTAACATTTCACGAAACAGGTAAGTCAGGAAAACTTAGAGGTCATTTGAGGTGTGGTGCTGCAGTGAGAACATCAAACAGTTCATTGTAAAACCTTGCATGGCTCTTTGCTCTCCTTGTGCTCTCACTCAGAACAAGCCACTTTACTGCTCTGTGAATCCTTAGTAAAGCATCTGTCAAAGCATTGGCTAGCCCAAGAGATGTGTTAGGAGGAATATGTGTATGTGAGGGGCTCTCCTATAAGAACAGGAGCACTCAGGGACTCAAGCAGGACTTCCCAGCCATCTGCATTCCCACAGTGTTTCCCTGTGCTGTCCCACTGCACAGCAGTCCTTCAGCTGAGGGATAACTCACTGCCTTCTAGGCTGAGAAACATACACCTGCGTCAGAGCTTTCATCTTGAAGTAAGAGCAACAGAGATGCTGCAGGTCTGCCCTGCCATCCTCTCATTGTAGTGGTGGCTTGCTGGGTGTTACTGCTTTGCTTTAAGCGATGTGGGGCACTGTGTGTTCTTCAAATGTAAGCATTGTGGCTGTGTGTACTCAAACACTTGAGACCACTTACATGACACAGTGCAGCTGGCAGGGCTTCCTGTAAGCAGCTGAAGCATTCCCAGTGTTGAGCGTACAGAGAGATGGAGGGAGCAGTCAGCTCAGGTAGGCACGCACCCCAAATGTGGGCCTGGCTCGCTGCTTCACTCCTTAGTTTCTTTTTATGCCTTCCCTGCAGGAAAAGGAAGATCCACGTGTATAAAGAAGCAGCGCAAGCTGCCCAAAATTCTGAGCTGGAAACCAAGCAAGCCCTCATAACTGTGCCAGAATACAGCCCAGAAAGCCCGCAGAAGCCAGAGCCGCTGCCACAGGATGAGAGATCGGGAGAGGTGCTGGTGCAGTGGAAGGATGGGACTGTCACCTCTCTGTACAGGGAGACAGCAGAGGATGCCATGTAACAGCTGATGTGAGGCCATAAGGAACCTACCAGAATGTCTCAATGCACAGAAACTGCAGATTGAAAAGTTGAAAAATTGTAGCCTGGAAAAAAAATAAATAAATAAAAGGGAAAAAAAGAAAAAAGAAAAAAAAAAGAGAAAAGAAAAGAAAAGAAAAGAAAAGAAAAGAAAAGAAAAGAAAAGAAAAGAAAAGAAAAGAAAAGAAAAGAAAAGAAAAGAAAAGAAAAGAAAAGAAAAGAAAAGAAAAGAAAAGAAAAGAAAAGAAAAGAAAAGAAAAGAAAGGAAAAGAAAAGACAAAAGAGCTGTGTCAGTAGAAGCAGCTCAGGTCTCAGAGGCAAACCTGTGCCTCCCCTCTGCACCTCCTCTGGCTGATCTTTACGCCCCTCGCTCAGCTGCCGCCTGCTGGGATGGGAGGAAGGTGGGGGCTCACAGTCAGCCAGGGCCCAGGCCCCCACCTGCAGACATGGAAACGCTGACACTGAAGCAGGGGAGCGTTTGTTCTTTTCAAAAGTTACCTTTATTAAAATATTTTCCAAAGTGCTCGATCAAAATCCTGTGTTGAATCTCTCTAATCACTGTAGTCGTATCTGTATGAATGTATGTACAGATATGCACATGCTATCTTGCTCTGCGGATAGACGCGACTCTGGGGAGATGCAGAACGTTCACCTCAAGAAACACGAGCACACAGCCCCGGGCCTTGGCATGGGCACAGCCTGCCTATGGCACACAGCACTCTGCTGTAGGATCTGCTTCACACCCTTCACAGGGCACACGTGGAGGCCGTGAAATAACTTAAGACATTTGGAAAAGACGACAGTTTTTTTTAAAGAAAAGCTTTTAAGAACGTGTTCCGGTCGATGAAGCATCTCTGCTTGCAAAACCTTTGAAAAGGAACATCGTCCTGTAAAAAGCTGGTTAAAAAACCAGCTGTTTTGGTATTCCTTACTTCAATGCACAGGGACCAGTTTCAGGGCACCTGAGGCCCGCAGTCACCTGTGACATTCTCCACATCTTTCTCATTTGGAGGAAAAAAGTAAATTGTTCCTAGTTATTGCTTGGTGAGGGGACCCGTGAGACACAGGCATCTCTGTGTTTGATGAAGGAGCAGTTCTCACTCCCTGGGCTCCCATCTGCCTGCTGGTGAGTTGGTCCCATTCACACATGGAAGCCCGAGCAGCCGTGCACAGCACAGCTCTCCAGCAATGCTTCTTGGCTCCAGGCGGAGCCCAAATCCACAGATGCATCACCCAGGCAGGGCTGTGCAGGGGTCAGTGGGATGAGGTCCCCATCCCCGGTGCTACCAGCCCCCTGCAGGACAGGGAAAGGATGCACCTCAAAATATCTTGAAACCTTTTAGCAAGGTGAGCGTGGGCGCTTTTCTTTTGCTCTGAGCTCGCGACGACTTGACAGTGACCAGCTTGGCTTGGGCCACCGAGGGGATCTCCTTGAGGTTGACAGTAGACAGAGTGTTGATGGTGCAGCTGGCCAGGCCATGCCGGGTGGCCACGGCCAGGCAGGGCTGCTCCTCGGCGACGAAGAGAGGCCGCAGGGCTGGGCTGTGCTCTGCCTCGCGCCGCAGCTCCCGCACCACCTGGTGGAAGACGTGCTGCACCGCCGCGAAGTCCTGGCACGCCGACACCTCGTAGAACAGGCACCCGAACTTGGTGGCCAGGGACATCCCTTCGGCTTTGGTCACCTGCCTGAGGAGAGCGGAGGGGCAATGGCATGGTCTCACTTGGTGACTTGGCCCATTAGAAAGGGCTGAGGGGTCCTCTTGTTTTGGCAACGAGGGGACAACAAAAAAAGGCAAGTGAGGGTGTAGGGTGTGGAGGTGATGACAGAACCCTGTGGAAAGGGGACAGGTCTTGAGAGCAGGACCACTGGTTGAGGACCAGTGGGATGAAGGCTCAGTTTGTCAAGGCCCCATAGCTACTCCAAGGCATCCCACCAAAGGCAGCAACGGGCTCCAAGCAAGCACACTGCCCCATTGGCAGTGGGGCCGTTTCCTACTGGGAAAAGAAGGGCGGTGGGTACCTGTACTGCTCCATGTCCAGCTTGTTGCCCAGCAGCAGCACGGGGCTCTGGCGCTGGCAGCCCTGCGCATGCCGGGCGAGGACATCGAGGTAGCGGCCGCAGCCCTCAAAGCTCCTCCTGTTGTCGATGCTGTAGACAACGAGGAAGGCGTTGGCCCAGTGCAGGTAGCGCTCGCAGTTGACGGGGCCATCCTGAGGATGAGAGGAGAGGTGAGCGTGGCACCATGTCACTGTGGCACCGGCGCTGCCCGGCCCTCACCTGGTCAGCCGTGTCCATCACCTTCAGCAGCACGGGCTGCTGGTCCACCAGCTCCTCCGAGGCGTAGGTGTCCTCTGCAAGGCAAGGGTGGCTCTGAGGACGGGTTGTGCGACCCCAGTGCCAGGCAAAGCCTGGCTGAGGTGTCATGGAAATAGCTCAGCCTCTGGTAAGGAGCATCCACTGCCGGGGGACACACTGTGCTCCTTCCAACAGCATCGTTTGGAAGGATGCAGTGGGGACAGGCCTGGCTGGGAGCTGCTTTCTCCCACTGCATGCAGAAAGCAGGGTGGCATATTTATTCTTTCCACCTCCTGACTCCACTTGGCAAGAAATCGAGCTCCCACCTGCTCTGAACCACCCTAACCACAGCCTCCCTAACCTGACGGGGTTCATCTCCTTGAGGTTTAACCCCAGAATCTGCTGCATTTTTGCAAGCGGCGGCTGATTGCTTCCACCCCCACCATGGGCTCCAGCGTGGCCATCACCCCTGGCTCAGCCCTTATCTCAATGCCACGACCCAGTGAGACATGGCAGTCAAGGGCTCAGCACGGGGCTGAGCGCCCATCACTGGGACAAAAGCAGCAAGGCCTTGCTTTGGGAACCAGGAGGGCTCCTCCATCGGGGGACGCCTCCTGCCTGCTGCTCCTGGAGGGTGCCTTTCGGGGAGGTTTTGCTGTGGGAAGATGGCAGAGCCGCTGTGAAACTGAACAGAGGATTTTTCCTTCTTTCCTAGAAGCGATGAGGGGCTGGAGCCGCTTCCTGGACGGGCTCCATATCTCCCGAATGTCCCTGATAAATCATTTACAACTCTTCACTGCAGACTGGAAACAAGCCCAGGAAAATAGTTATTAACTGCTCAAACAGGGTGGAAAAGAAACTGCCCAGAGCCACTCCACAGCACCACACGGTCCCCAGAGACACCTGCAGTGCAGCGCTCCTCATCTCAGCCAACATCCCAAAGAGGGATGGGGGGCCACACCTAAAGGAGGGCCACATCTGGAGAGGAGATGCAAGGAATGGCTGCTTCCTATGGGACGCGCCTGTTCTCACCGCTGTTTTGGGTTGAATTTGGCCTTTTTGACGTTTCTCATGTCTTTTGGGTTTGTTTGTTTGTTTATTTGATGGGTTTTGTTTGCTTGTTTTGCTTTTCGGTGCCGTGTTGTTTTTTTTTCCCCCCTTTAGATGCTGTATTCGTGGGAAGTGTGGGAGATGAGAAGCAGAGCACACTGGGGACATGCAGGGGATGCTGGGGTGCAATAACTGGGGGGAGAAACGCCTTACCCAGGTTGGGGTCGTACTCGCTGATAAACCTCTTGGTGAGAAACTTCACAGTCAGCGCTGCAGGAGGTGGAGGAGGATGGCATGGTCACCCCTCTGAGCAGCATGCTGTCACCTCCCATCCTGCCACACTCCACCAGCAGGCAGCAGTGGGGCCATTCACCCCTCTCCCATCTGCCTTCCACCCCTTTTCCCAACCCAAAAGCAACCTTTTCCCTCCAAATCCTGCCCACTTGTCCCACAGCTTTCCCAGGATTGCCTCTTACAAAGTGATGTTGTTTTCTCCACTAAAAAGAAAGCCATTCTGGGCCAAACATCTACGATTTGATGATTTTTAGAGGCTTTCACCTCACCAGTGGGGCACAGAGATGGCCTCTGGGGACCCACTTTTGGTGACCTGTGTGCTTCCTGCAGGACTCATGCAGAACGCAGCCCCAAATCGCACAGGTGGAAACATTGCTGCTACCGAAAAGGTCCACAAATAGCCATTAATATAAATATACATCCATGGGAATCACATGCAAAACAAGCAAACGCAGCCACAGCCGTGCACATGACCCAGGGGGCTCTGGAACGATTGCAGAGGAACTTTTTCCTTTCCTAAACACACAAAACCCCATTATAGCAGGGATGCTGCCCGGCACCGGGGCAGGGATGCTGCAGTGGTGCCAATGCTGGAAGCAGGAGCGGTGCAGGCACCCGCGGCTCCCGAAAAGCCATACAGCAGCTGCGGCTCAGCGCTGCTCCCACCTGACTTTCCGGCCCCCCGGCAGCCCAGGATGGCCACGTTGCACTCTGCCACGGGGCTCTGCGGCGGTCGCTCGGTGCTGACCCGCGGTTTGCCGAACATCGAGGCCATCCTCGGTCCTGCGAGAGAGCGAAGCAACGATGGGGGACCCCATTTCTACCCGCACCCCAGAAAGAGAGAAAGCAGCGTCCCACCTGCCGCTGGGATGTTGGGCGCTCGGAGCTCACGGCGGTGCCGGGGAGCAGCGGCCCCAGTGCCGCTCGCAATGAATGAGGCAGGAGGAGGCGAGCGCTGCTCCCGCCGCTCGGGTCGCAGCCAAACTCCTTGTAAGGCAAGCTGCCGCACGGGGCCGGGCTGGACAAGCGTCCCCGGCCACCCTACTGCCGTCCCTCTGCCTGCTTTGCCCCCGCAGCAGATTTGCAGAGAGACAACGGCTGGTATCGGCTCTGCGATGATCCCATGCGCCTTGCTGGGACCCCCCAATGGGCACGGACCCCCTCAATCCTCCCGTGCTGCTCAGCCGAGGACAGCGCGCTCAGTGCATCTCCCACCGGCACAGCGTGCTCCTATCTATCCCTGTGCGTTCCCTGCTCCTTCAATGAGCTTCAGCATGGATAACGTCTGGTGCCGGCAGGGTTGGTGGGGAGAAAACAAAGAAGCAAGCACAAAACCACCCTTTTTGCATCCAAAACGCAAAGAGAGGGAGAGCAGAGCACGGGCAGTACTCACCGCTGCCGACCGCCCCGAGCCATCAGCGCGATGGGATCCAAACCCGGGGAGGAGGTG